GATTTCCTCCATTGGCACAGACAAAACTACATTGCTTTGGTGGCTCGCTCTGATACACCATGCTTCCTACCGGTAAGTTTGAGACCAAGGTGTTTATAGGACTCCACATGTCCTGAAGCATATCCTTCAACACAGAAACGGTTTGTATAATCCCTTTTGGATCCGCCCAAAATCATTACTTTAGTCTTCAATATATTACTCCATCTAGTTTGTGCAAGATCTATGAAATGAATACAACGCATTTTGTCTGCATACAAAAATACAAACATTGTTATCACATTTTCTATTGGTTCATAAAATTCGTTTGGCTTTAACACTTAACAACCACACATTATTGGGAACAAGAACAACTGTAAGCCAGAATGCACACGTGGCCTCTTACGACTAACTAAAGTACTGTCGGAAATAGAAAAAAACTGGTTGATATCTACAGTTTATATAGTTAACATGTGTAAGTGTGAAATATCTGTTCAACTAAGTTCGGCCTAACTACAGTCTCAGTGGTAGGGAGATTGGAAACGTAGAAAAAAGACTTTACTGAGAAGAGATTAGTGCAGAAATGAGAAATGCGCTTTTTTCTAAGTTCAAAGCGACTTATTTGGAACAGACCATGGCTTTATGCAAATGAGTGTGCGATGATATGATATTACAAAGGACAATTTTTACATGTCCATTTTGAAATAAAACTTAGCTTCATTATAAACGATAGCTGACGTAAAAAATAATAACTTTAATACTGAAACTATGAAGGATGTAGCTACCATGTAGTCTCACTATCACTATAAAAAGAAACAGGTAGGAGGGGTTGTCTCAAAAGCAAATCCAGGACGGGTGTCGCAGACGGTGGTTGGGGTCGGGCTGGGGGATAGAGATATAAGCTGAGATAGATACATGTAATCCTTTAGGGGAATTAAACTGGGAAGCAAACGGCATGTCATAACAATTTACAAATAATATCCAGATCTTCGGGTGGCCATGCCACCTACATATTTTGAGACATTTAATACGATGGTTGATTTAAGCTTTCCCATGGGTATCATACCCTTTTAAGTTTCTTAACATGAAGTTTATGATCAATGGATGAGACATATTCAACACACATGAAAATGCATAAAATATCTTTGAGATGACCCCTTGTGCTTGTAGGCTGGACGTGCATTTCATGCCAGGTGAGTCGACATACCTGGCTGAGCGACCTAATTGCCATCTATAGTCCGATCTATTGTTTTGAGCAGTTATTCGTATTTTTTCTAAGTTTTGCCCGATTTTAAGAGTAAACATGCTTTTCTGGATATACTATTACGCATCCCACTGAATGCCCAGTTAGGCCGATGTGGGTTATTTCGATATATATGCTATTTGTAAATTTGTCAATTATAGGGTTAAAGAGTAACAGCCTAAAAACAGGTTTTTTCTATTTCCGACAGTACTTTAGATATAGTTGGAAGCAGCGATGTGTTGCATATAACTCTCTCTTCATACTGAAACTGCCTCAATAATAGGAGCGTTTCTCTCACTCACTCACCTCGATATTCGGACCCGGGTATCTAGTGAGACTAGAGAAAGGGCCAACGTAGAACGCCAGCCTGTTCTAAATGAAAGCGGAACTATAAACATAAAATTGTATATTTACATAAGATGGTTAAATCGTAACGAATTTGGTTTACTGCCATAAATTTGTGAAATTCGACCCACAAGTAGTTGAGAATGGTGTAGTATCAAATTTCTATTTAGAAGACCAAATAAAACATGTATTTGCTGACTCTTCTGTGCTTGGATGAACCCAAGGAGCCTGACCTTTAAACAATTCAACTCTCTTGGTTCCTATAAATAAAATAACTATTTTCGGTCTGCTTTGAGAAGGGTAAATTATTCTGTGCTACGCAATTCTGCTAATTTAAGACGGGCGTATTTAAGTAAAATATCATCAATTATTTCATTCTTGTCATTAATGCTAGCAAGATGGGAAATGATTTTAAATATTCAAACTTCAAAATAAATGTTTAATGAATAAAGTTATTACTGGAATATTAAGAAAATAATAACAGAATCAATATCTGAAAATATGAATGAAATATTGAATTATGTATGTTTTCAAATATCTTTCACTGATTAAGAGATTTACATAATGCAACGTATGGTAAAGATAGTTTTATTTGCTTATCAGCAACACAATGCTTTTTCAAAGCCAACTTTTTAAAATAATACTTGAGCCCCATGGTTCCACAAGATGTGTTTCATATATTTGGAACTGGCGAGAGTTTTCGCAAGTAAATATATATATATATATATGTGTATGGTTCTTACGCCCTACAAGAGCATCCGAAAATACCAAGCAAAGACTGCAGCGGTTACATTGAAGCTATATCTTGGACAATATTACCACTCTGCCCGGTCCGGCTTGTCAAACAGCTGGATTATTGCTGGGTGCAACTTTAAACAACAGACAACTTACAACACAAACGACAGAGTCCTGCCCTACATTTCCTCACTACGGCGGTGGTTGCTACAGTCCTGTCCTACATTTCCTCACTACAGCAGTGGTTGCTACAGTCCTGCCCTACATTTCCTCACTACAGCAGCGGTGGCTACAATCCTGTCCAACATTTCCTCACTACAGCAGTGGTTGCTAGTCCTGCCCTACATTTCCTCACTACGGCAGTGGTTGCTACAATCCTGTCCAACATTTCCTCACTATAGCAGCGGTTGCTACAGTCCTGTCCAACATTTCCTCACTACAGCAGTGGTTGCTACAGTCCTGTCCAACATTTCCTCACTACAGCAGTGGTTGCTACAGTCCTGTCCTTCATTTCCTCACTACAGCAGCGGTTGCTACAGTCCTGTCCTACATTTCCTCACTACAGCAGTGGTTGCCACAGTCCTGTCCTACATTTCCTCACTACAGCAGCGGTTGCTACAGTCCTGTCCAACATTTCCTCACTACAGCAGTGGTTGCTACAGTCCTGTCCTACATTTCCTCACTACAGCAGTGGTTGCCACAGTCCTGTCCTACATTTCCTCACTACAGCAGTGGTTGCTACAGTCCTGTCCAACATTTCCTCACTACAGCAGCGGTTGCTACAGTCCTGTCCTACATTTCCTCACTACAGCAGTGGTTGCTACAGTCCTGTCCTACATTTCCTCACTACATCAGTGGTTGTAACAGTCCTGTCCTACATTTCCTCACTACAGCAGTGGTTGCTACAGTCCTGCCCTACATTTCCTCACTACAGCAGCGGTGGCTACAATCCTGTCCAACATTTCCTCACTACAGCAGTGGTTGCTACAGTCCTGCCCTACATTTCCTCACTACAGCAGTGGTTGCTACAGTCCTGTCCTACATTTCCTCACTACAACAGTGGTTGCTACAGTCCTGTCCAACATTTCCTCACTACAGCAGTGGTTGCTACAGTCCTGTCCTACATTTCCTCACTACAGCAGTGGTTGCTACAGTCCTGTCCAACATTTCCTCACTACAGCAGTGGTTGCTGCAGTCCTGTCCAACATTTCCTCACTACAGCAGCAGTTGCTACAGTCCTGTCCAACATTTCCACACTACAGCAGCGGTTGCTACAGTCCTGTCCAACATTTCCACACTACCGCAGTGGTTGCTACAGTCCTGGCCTACATTTCCTCACTACAACATGTGCTGCTACAGCCCGTCCCCTACATTTCTTTACTGTGATACTGCCTCATGTTTCAGCATACACTCTGGCAGGCTGAGGAAATAAAATAGAGGTTTCCCTGGAGCATTCAAATCATACAGAATCTATGCTTTCATGGAAGATAAAATTGACAGAAAACCCCTTTCCAGTATACGTATAGCCAACCAAGCACCATCAGTATTATTTAATTCATCTTCCTATGAACATGATCAAACAACATAAGATGCTGATGTATATTTGACATTGAACACATTAAAATAACATGTGAAACATTGATGATAAGTTTTGAAATACGCATCTGAAAAAACAAGCACAAAATCTTTGTCTTCCTGGTGTACTCTTGTCTCAACAGCAACACTTTAGTTAGCAGTACAACATAATACAAATCCTCAATTGTTAAGATATGTTAATTAATTCCATACATAAAATAAAATTAGTACAGACACCAAATCAACTCAGCTGTACAGTTGGTAAATATATTTCATAAATCTTCAAAAGGGTTAACAACCAAAATATGATCAAAAGAAATCAAACAACAGAACATAACAAATCATAAAAATAATATCACAACATGTCATGAAAGCATATGATTGCTGATCTATTTGTGACCAGAAAACAGTTGTCTCAGTACTGCACTTGAGATACTGATCATGTATATCATTAACAAGGTGAGACAAAGTTTGAATATTTTAACTTGTCATGTGATCTAAACACTACAACCTGTAATCACACGGAAAGTGGAGAAATATATTTTAAAATGTTGAAATTGAGTACTTTGATTCCTATCATATCATGATGCTATCAGTCAACAAGTAAGGCAGGTGTATTGTGACACCTCCACTTATCATGACAGCAGCACAAGTAGGAGGGTAGACTAGTTGCAGCCATGTCTTATTTCAGAGTTTGACCCTGATGCACATTCTACATAAACGTTGTTGGTTGGTTTGTTGTTTAACAGAGCACTTAGCAATATTATACCTATATGGTGGTGGTTTGTAAATAATCAAATCTGGACCAGACAATCCAGTGATCAACAGCATGAGCATTGATCTACGCAGTTGGGATACAATTACATGTGTCAATCAAGTCAGCGAGCCTGACGACCCAATCCTTTTAGTCACCTCTTTTGACAAGCATAGGTTACTGAAGACCAATTCTAACCCGGATCTTCACGAGATCTTCATAAATGTGACCTGCATGTGTGTGGTACCTACACCATGTACAGTATAAGCCAAATAATACAAATTATGACATTTCCCCCAAATCAAAAAAATAAATGTGTTTGTAAAAATTATGCAAATGATGAATCATTTTTGTAGTGGATGTCTTTTTACACCACCAAGTGGCAGTCTTCCACTCCGTAGGGAACCAGGCACTCCATCATTGCTGGCAGAAGTGAGTGGGCCTCAGAGGAAATGAGGTTAGCAGCAATAATCAGGGACTAATTCCATCAATGCAAGCCATCATATTTCGGCTCGGCTCAGAACTAGTTTTAACTTGACTGGTGAATGGGTATTATTGTATGTGTTCACTAGCATTCACACAAATTATGATAATCACATGCAACAGACAACTGTGCATATTATGATTGTGCAACGCACCAGACAACTTGAACAAGTTACACACACATAGTGTTATTAGCACAATATTGTGAAATCCTTTCAAAGGAAAACTTTGATATATCAATAAACATGGTTAATATTGTTAATATATATATTTAATGTTCATAAATAATAGACAAAATTAAAGCAGGAAAACAATCTGTATGATACCAAATAAATACAATTCTCCATTGTGTCATGCCCAGTTACATATACGCCATATGTATATGTCCCTGTACGACATGCATGTCTTCAAACAAAGTGAGACAACTACCGGTACCTATGAGACAATGGCTATGGCAAAAGTTTGGGGTGTTCAGTCATGATTGATGTCAGGTGTTCAGTAAGAAATGTAGAGAACAAACCTGAAAACAGAAAATAAGATAACAAACAAATGGCCAAAGGGAGCTAACTCACCAAAAATGAAGTTACTCAAGGTGCTTGGTTTCATGCATGTGTGTAACTGCTTGTACTGGTTTGAACTAAAATCACTAAGATATCCCACTAAGATACCCTGCTCAGCATACTGACTTCAAGGCGACCAGCACTTGTTTTAACAAGTGCTAAGTGTCAGACAGGGTCACAGCAAGTACAATCTTTTTACATCTTTCAGCATGATGCTTTTTAAACATATTACGACACACAAAGAGTTACTGTTACACATATTAAACGAACTAAATAGGTGAGTGAATTGCACTACATTTTTCCCAAAGAATCAGTTATATTTATCATGTTTATGTTGTATAAGGACCAACTTATGGATGAACAACTTCTTTATTCAGGTGGTGCGCATTTCAATAAAGATTCTAGTATACCTGCTCGAAACCGATACCTGTTTCTGTATCAAAACGTCACACCACCTGCTTGACAATGATACAAGAATCAGAATCTGTATCAAAACCTTGCACCACCAGAATAAAAAAGCTGTTTATCCATAACGTTTGTCCTTATCTGACACTCCAACTTCTAAAAATGTCACTCAAAGAGAGTATGTTTATGTTGTGTTTTGTGTCCGAAATGGATAACTGGTTGACAAAGCCTGTAAGTACAAGAGCTAAAATGAATCAATGACAATCATACTTTAAGCTTTAACAATGCTCGAAATTTTGCATGTAAATATAGTGTCCTTTATAACCCTAACCCTGAAGTTAAGCATGCTTAAGGAGTCTGAAGATCCATGTGTTCCTACAGTACACTTCAAGATACCCTTCATCCCCACCTTATTTCTAGAGTATGCGAGTGCTTAAAGCCTTCACTCATCATGCTGAAGGCCCAGGTTTGAATATCCACATGGGTACAATGTCTGAAGCCCATTTCTGGTGTCCCCCGCCATGATATTGATGGAATATTGCTAAAAGCGGCATAAAAAACTAACTCACTGGCTCACTCACCCTAATTTATAACACACTGTTATTACTTCAACCATGGAAATGTGATCACAAACAACCTTGTATCAATTAGGTCAAACATCATGACGAAGGTGGAAACATATAATAATTACCTCTCTTTCATATCTAAATTTACATACCATTCTATTCCATTTCCAGAGTTACGGAAAGGCATTGGAAAAATGAAATTCAGCAACCACATGGGTCCAAATACTGATGATATGTTTTCAAAGAGCGGCCTTTTATAAAGCTTGATACCTTTCACATATTCATATGAACTCTGACCGGTGTACAAGAGCATGCACTGCCACAGAAAGTAATGTGCACATGCTGCCATGGTTGCAACACAGCAGTAGCTGTAAACAACCATAGATACGGTTGCTATGGTAATATCACTAATAAACCATCTCCATAACAACCATGGTAACAAATAATTGTAAAATTCCTGGGATGATAGCTTGGCATAGTGAACTTCAAGGTACCCAATGGCAATGCACAAACTGTAGAGAGCACCAAGGGTTCCATACAAACAGAACACAATAAAGTAACGCTGGTTGTGGAAGCCAATACAGCATCCGGCAAAGAAGCAGTGATGATCCCTTTTGAGAACACATCGGTCACAGAGTGGGCAGTGTTTGGCTCGTGGTGGGACTAGCTGGTTACATGTGAAGCATTGTTTCCAACGTTTCTCCTCTGCACTTGTTTCAGTCTGGTTTAAAAGAGCTGTGCATGTTGATGAGTTCACCACAGACCTCTTGTAACTACGAATGATGCAAATATGATTGACTACAAGCATGGCAAATATATACCAGCCTGCTAAAACCCGGTAGAAAAGCACATCTGGTTTGTCTTTGTACAGCTCAGGTAGGGCAACAGTTATTCCTACTACTAGAGCAGTGGTAGAGTAAAAGAAAAAGTAGATAATTCCACATAGGTTGATAAGTTGCAGCTTCCATTTCCAGCTGCTGCGTTTTGACCCATGAAGCCCCTGGCAGGACGGGTACAGACCCCCCGAGGTGTCCATGTCCATGACACGAACTGATTCATAGTTATTCTTCATCTTGAAGATCTGCAGATTCTGTTCAGTTAAAAACAGATATTCAGCAAAACATCGTCTCCGCTTTGACAGTCATCTGAAACGTTAAAACATAAAAACATAATAATGATCTTGACCATGTTCACTATATGATCAGGTTGACTGTCAATGCAATTGCAACAAAGCAATGATAACAATTAATAAAATTCATACATGACAATTTATCCATTTTCCTGTGAAAAACATATTGCTCAACTCAAACTATTATTACTATTAACTATATATTGGAACGTCAAAATGCAACAAACCTGCAGCAAGCAAATGGTACACAATGCCTTATTTGAAACTGAACATGTGTAGTCACTGTGATGTCATAAATGTGTGTTTTGGCCAATTTAATAGCGGCATAAAATCACACTCACTCTGAAGGCTTCCACCGGGGCACTTGCATCAAGACTCCATCGTAACGTTCTTTACTGAACTTACTCCTTCCTCGGTTTAAGTAATTTAGCACTCTGTGTGATGCAAATGTAGCCACAAACCCTTATTCATTCAACGGAAAAAATCGAAATAGCAGTTTCTGTTGACATTTCAACCAAATTCCTGTTATTGATACGAAACCGGAAGTCATTGTCTGCACTGCCCACAAGGGTTTGCTTGTTGTAAGACTCATATTTGCTTTCCTATATTTATGAAGTAATGCGTAGTGAAACTGTTCATTTTTCACAAAGGATTATGAAATGATAGTCTTCTATATACATATTAAGTATAAAATAAATGAAAAGTAGAACGTGTTTCCAACTTACAGTAAGTCTTATTATTATCTCTAACACAGAGTAACAGTAGTTGACAGCAAGTATATTTTCATGAACATTCAACCAATTGCGCATGCGCTACGGTTTCTTCCAACTTGGCGTCATTGCTTTTTTGTTCAACTGAAAACGGACTTTGAAATATTATTTATTCGTGAATTCTGGCATTTCAACCAAGAAGGTAAATGCGATACGTCAATATGTATTGTTAGGGTTGTTCACTATGAGATCGTTACGTACTTATAGCCGGTATTGGACTACAAGCAACAGCAGAGGCTAAAAACTAACCTCATCAATATGGCGTTGGCGCCAATCCGCATCCACCATGTTTGCCGTTCCCTTCCTTAACTAACCTCTCGCAAAAAGTCGCATGTTTAGGAAACGAAATGGAGAGGAAACGAAATAGATTATTATCATGCAACAATTGTCCCAATAAAGTGTGTGTCTTGATTGTGTCTATACAGTAAGATTTAATGCTAGATGAAACAGTACTTATGATATGTTGTTGAATCAGTGGTCACTATGACCTTGAGTACACACAAACATTGAACACAAAACATTGACTGTTCTTGATCATTAATTCTGTTGAATAAGATTATTTTCATGTTCATGTTATAAAATGTGAACTGCAAAATTGATGTACTGTTGTCATATTGATATTGCCTAACGCTTGCATGTTTAGTCACTTGAATGAACCAGATTTTAGTTTGTTGTTATTAAATGAACCAATGGACTTTCATGTAAGGACTTACATAATATATATATCATGGCTATCTTACTATATATAGGCCGTGGGACTCTCTCCAAAACGTTTGTAGCACAACATCATTCGTAAGCAAATGGTATAATATAGCGTTACGATAAGTCTTACGTTACGAATGCTTTGTGAATTTGGACCCTGGAAGTTACACAATATATTGAAAATATCTCTTCCAATTCACATTTATCTGCAAGTCAATATGAGTTTTCTTCATTGGACATATCTATGTATCAGGCCCTGATTTCTCGAAACAAACTTAAGCCTGAGTTTTGACTTAAGTTAGAGTTTTTACTCAAATTTGAGAAAGCGCAGGAAAATGCATTTCCCAGAATGAACTGAAATCATTATTACACTACAACATAGTAGACAATTTGAGTTTGGTGGATATATTACTTAAGTTGTTTAAGCAAATTCAGCCGTTTCAAATTGTCAAACTTAGTTTGAAATTTGAGTAAAAACTTAAGTTTGTTTCGAGAAATCAGGGCCTGGTATATCATAAGTAACATACAGATTTGCCTCAGATCGGTTACATAAGCACTATTCACCTAAAACTTGGTTATCGGTTCTACAATTAAATGGTCCATAAACTGTTATGGTAAATCAACAAATGTAATGAATAATGAAGAAAGACTTTTCATGAATATCAGTAGTAATGCTTTCAAAAATTGTATAGGATGCTGAATGCCCGTGATTACAGAGGAAAGAAACATCAGGATTGAATATCTTTTACTCATGACAATAAGAGGTGTTTAGTAGATCTGAGTATTTTGTATGTAGGAGTAGTAGCAAATTATTTCTGACATTTTCTCAACTTAAGCTGTTGTTAACATGTTAGAATTCCGGGCTAGAATTCATCCCCAGCAACCTATGCTTGTATATAATCGACATTATGTGTCAGGTGGTCAGACTTTGAGACTCTGTTCATGGTATGTTAATGTACACCAACGATGTTGATTATAATCATGATAATACCAATAACTGGACTGTCTGGCCTCGACTTGATTACTGAAAGGGCACCATAATCAAGTTGGGTGTTGATCATTATAACGTTAAACAGCAAATAAACACTCACCTGTTTTTAATTTCTTGCCTTTTACTGGATATTACTATGTCAACATGGGCATTATTATTTTTCAGTTCACCCCATGAAAGACTGCCTGATGTTCTGTACTCCTTAGCCACAAAGTTACTATGGATCAGCAAGGTAATAAACTTTAATGTTTCAGTTCTTGTGGGTTTCCTGGTCAGAATAGGCCATTATGCTATTGTCTAAAAAGTATTTATTTAACCTTTTAACACATACTTCTGTTTGATAACACAGGTTGTTAGTTGTTGTCACTCATGCCATCAATCACCTCAACTTGACCAAGGGCGGTGGGGTAGCCTAGTGGTTAAAGCGTTGGCTCGTTACGCCGAAGACCCGGGTTCAAATCCCCACATGGGTACAATGTGTGAAACCCATTTCTGGTGTCCCCCGCCGTGATGTTGCTGGAATATTGCTAAAAGCGGCGTAAAACCAAACTCAGTCAGTCAACTTGACCAATGACAGCTGTGGAAATATCGCTGACTTTAATATAAAACAATCATCCACACTCCAGCTACTATTAAAGCCAGATGACTAGATCCCACTGTGACACATGTATACTGAGTTGCCATGGTTACAGGAGCAGAATGTGACGTGTGTGGTGGCGGCCATGAGACAGAGGTGTGCCCAGAGCTGGGACTGGAGGAGGCAGCGCCAGGAACTAGCAACGAAACAAAGTGAGTTGATCCTCAAGGGTGTCTGCTGGTACGGTTATGTGCAGTTCTTACTGCTGTTGTGGTGTTTAACGACATGTTTTGAAGCCAAGAATTATAAATTATAAATCATAAAACAAAATTAGTCCAAACCCATAAAATGGCTTACAAGAAATTAGCCAATCAAAAAGCAGCTGCCCCAGGCTATACAGTACCAGTATAAACTGAAATATAAACTGGTAACCTCTATTTCAAACTACACCTCTATTACATTTTGAAAACTGTTCAAAGGAAATATTCTGGAATATCTAATAGATGGATTTGATTATATAGCAGTACTTCCCATGTGCAATGCAAAGCGTACAAATATTTAACTCTGTGAACCATGAGACATGATATTGACAATGTACAGACCCTGTCTTAACCTTCCAAAGGTTGCATGATTAGGCAAAATACTATGTCTGTAACTTTCCCAATCTGGTAAGCGACCATGTGATTGGTCTGATGGAAGGATGTTCAGACTTGAAATGGGTATCCCCAGTTCTTTGGTTAGTGGAAGCTTGAACTAGGGTCTGAGGTTAATGAAATTGATCTCCTCACAGTGCAGCTGATTTTAGACAGAAAGGGGATGGAAATTAACTCTAGCTCATAGGCCAAGACATTACGTAATTGTTGCAGAGTGATGGTACATGTACAGGAGTTTATACGATACTGAAATATATGTCCAGTAGGCACAAATGTTTAGAATGGACATATAAAAAATGCGATTTGTCCCTAGGGGCTCAGAATAATATTCAGTTTTACACATCCTTAGCAAGATATATAAAGAGAAATTATTCACTAATTAAGTAATTATCAAATCTTACAGTACACTACACTACATTCTGTCATTACTGTTACTTCCCGGGGTCCTCATGTTTCCTTTATGTAAATTAAATATTGGGGTTCCCTTGATCCCCACTCATGTTAGTCAGCCTAAAACCCTGCTGGTAACAGCTATACAGGGGTTAAGTCTGGTTACAAAGATTTTAAGCTAATTTATCAGTTTAATCAAGTATTACTTAAGACTTTTAATGCTTCAATTTTGGAGGTTCAGTGAACATGTAAAAGACAAATGAGAGGAAGCAGGCATAACTTTCTTGATTCTCTGTAATCCCTTTGATAAGATATGCCCATGGAGTCAAGACAGGGATTGTAAATACATGTGGTGTTTGTGTTTCAGAGCCCGTCTGACTGTACCAAGCAGCTTGTTGGTGCAGACTTACACTGATGGCAGTGTCGGCATCTACACCAGAGAGAATCTGCCCAGCAAAACTCAGTTTGGACCATTTGAGGCTAGGCGGACAACGCATGAGATCGGGAATGAGGACTTGTTTGTTCTCAAGGTGGGTCCAGATACTCCAAGGTCAGAATGTAAGAATACCCAGCAGTGATGAGTGAGTGAGTGATGTTTTACGCTGCTTTTAGCAATATTCCAGCAATATCATGGCGTATGACACCAGAAATGGGCTTCACTCATCGTACCCATGTGGGGAATCGAACCCGGGTCTTCGGCGTGATGAGCAAACACTTTAACCACTCGGTTACCCCACCAACCCCAGTAAGATGAGATGGTAAAGTGACTGTCAACCTTACATATTACTACACAGGGCTCCAGATAATTTTTCAACATCAGGAGTACATACTCCTTATTTTTGTAATATAGGAGTACTGGAAAACCTTAAGAGTACATTTCGAGTACTGAATGGAATTTAATGCAGTATCAGTAATCTTGTGTTTTGTTTCATATACGCATCACAACATTGCTACTCTTGTGTAAATGGGGCAATAAACAATAAAATAATACTTTTTCAGATAAATACTTCTGTAAATGATTCTGAGACCGTACACCATTGCTGTGATGCGTATCTGCTACGTTTTCTAAATTATTTCCTACCGTATCATGCATATTATTTAGCCGTACATACGTCGATACAGCCCTTATCTGTAGCCCTGACTACATATGTACTTGGGTTGTATTCTCCCCAGGGAGCAAAGAATACAAAATCAAGTGCACACTGCTTCTTTGTTCTGGGTAATGAGTCTCTGTGCTTTGTGACAGGATATCCATAGAAATGGATGACTCTGTCATCATTGTTTGTTTGTAGATCCTCTCAAAAGAAAAAGATGGCAGTGCTGTATGCCTGGACGCAAGTGACGAGAATGAGTGTAACTGGATGTGCCTGGTGGAGGTTGCCAGGACAGAGGAGGAACAGAACTGCATGGCGTACCAGCTGGCAACCAACATCTTCTTCAATACCACCAAAGCTGTGGAGGCTGGAAGTCCACTCAAAGTGTGGTATGCTTCCCACTATGCCAAGAAGATGGGCAAGTCACCCCAGCCTGATGGCAGCACCATATGTACGTGAGATGAACCTAGTGGAAAAAAAACAATGTTTGAAATAGAAGACAAAGAATCATGTTATGGTCCATGTGATGAAAATGGTAGATTAAGGGATTCAAATACTATGAATTACAGAGCACTTTTATGTCTCCCAATGCTACATATGACAAACTGTTATACCTATCCCCTTATTATCATTAATCTTGACTATATCTCCAATAATTAAAACATATCTGTAGGGTTTGAGAGACAATAGTTTTATTGTGATACGGAATACATGATACTGCACATGTTTATACTGCATCAAAATCAGTGTTTGTCTTCATTACAGCAATGCTGGGACAGAAGCTGACAGTGCAAGAAGAGTCGGTGTTGGCCACACCATCACCTTCCTCCCGCAGAAGTGTCAGGACACGGGTCTTGCCAGCACGATCCAAGTCACATACCAATGAGAAAGGGGATATGGGTCAAAATGATGCCATAGAAAATTTCTTCTCTGAAGTGAAGCAGTCTCTGGATGAGCGAGAGGAAGCCGATGAGGACGAAGATGGAGAACCTGCTAGTGCAGACTATTTGGGGATCTATGGATTTAAGTGTCAACGCTGTTCAAAATCATTTGAGGATCAAAGCCAGCTGGCCTATCACATCCGAGAACATATCATGCCCACAGTGGAAAAGAAAACATTCAAGGGTGTGTATACCTGTAAGATTTGCAAGGTTGGCTTCCAGACAGTGAGTAACTACAATCGACACATGAAGAGACATGTTGGCTACAAGGTTAAGTGTCCTCAGTGCAACTACTACACGTACAGGCCAGATATCCTTCAGACTCATCTCATGGGCCAACATGGTGTCACCCTAGAGAATGCGAAGACTCTAGCGGCATCAAGTGAACTGCCTGCCAATGGAGATGAAGGTTCTCGGAAAACTTCAGGTAGGAAAGGTCGTCGGAGAAGAAGGAGGGAAGGAAAAGGAAGGTTGAAAGTGAGGATGAGATAGAAGAAGAGGAGGAGGAGGAGGAGATGGAAGATGTTGTTGAACCAGGGGAGGAGGGGGAGGAAGAAGCTGAGGAAAGCACACTGAAGTCCCCCGTGGCAGTGAGTCCTCGTGCAGTTAGTTCACACGATGCTGCAGGGTTCTCCCCTACCCGAGTTCAGCCAAGACGTTCACTCAAAGGTATCAGAACAACTGGAAACCTAAAGGGAATCAATCCAACTTCACTGTTTAAGAAACGGAAGAATGAGTCTGAGTCTGAAGAAGAGGAGAGTCCAGCTAAAAGTCCAGTGAAGATTCTCATACCTGAAGTTAAGAAGAAGAGGGGGAGACCAAGGAAACATCCAGTGGTAGAACCAGTTGTCGAGGCTGTATCTCCAATGCGGAGGAGAGGCAGACCAAGGAAGGATGCTGAAGAGGTTCATAAAGTGGCAGAGGAGGCTATGGAGGAGGAAGAGGAAGAAAATGCAGAGCCTGGAGAAATAATGATAAACGATCCTGCTGAATCTGGGGTAAAAGGAGAGAAGGTGGAAGAGGTTGCTAGTCAGGATGTCAAAAGTGAAATTGTACCTGGTGAAGAAAAATCTGCAGTTACAGCAGAAACCTTTGTGGATGAGACGAAAGCTCTAGTTGAACCTGAACCACCGACAGAATCTGAAATACCAGCTGAATCTGAAGCACCAGTGGAATCTGAACCTGTGAAGGATGAAGCAGAAAGGACTCTACCAACTGGAGATGAGAATGTTGAAGAGGACAAGGCCAACATTGCAGATGATGCTGAGGAAAAGACAGAAGAGAATCAGGAAGAGGAACCTGATCAGGCTAAAGAGGAAGTAATCAAACCAGTACCAAAGAGAAGAGGTCGACCTCCTAAACACGGCAGAGTCCGTAACAATGAAGAAATGAAAGAGCTAGAGAAACAAATCCGCCAAGTGGGTAATGCCTTCCAATGTGGGGTTTGTGAGAAGAAGTTCTCCCAGAAGAAGTATGTTATGTTACACCTGCCCAAACATACAACAAAATTCAAGTGTGACGGTTGTGAAAAACAGTTTGCCAGATACGAATCCTATCAAAACCACTCCTGTGTGCATCATCCTGTAAGTGATGATATCATTACTACAGACAAGAACGGATGCTACTCCTGTGGAGAATGTGGCAAAGTCTTCTCCAAACCAGAATATGTTAAACGCCATTATTCTGTTCATTCTTCATCCTGGGCTTGTGAAAAGTGCAATAAAAAGTTTTCACGCCGACATCTGCTGCTTGATCATGTGTGTCAGGCAGAAAATGGAGATGAAATTGTTGACAATCATGAGTGTGAAATCTGCAAACAGTGTTTCCGTAGTCTGAAGTATTTGTATCGCCACATGGCTATGCATACAGATATCTTCAAATGTCAGGGATGTGACAAGACCTTCTCTAGAAAGGATTCACTACAACGACATGTTCTTAGATGTAGGCCTGACCTGGCTGATCAATATAAAATCTATGACTGCAAAAACTGTAAGAAAACATTTGCAACCAAGCTTGGTCTGGAAAATCACTATCTCAACTGTGCCAACTATAGCTGTGAGAAGTGTAGAGTGGCTTTCTTTAAAATTGAACACTTGGAAAAACATGTTTGTGAAGGCACTGTTGTTCATGATGGCGCTAGCGTGCAGTTCCCGTGTCAGGAATGTGGAAAGACTTTTGCGAGTATCAACTATCTCCGTCGCCATGAGGAAAGTCATAAAGGTGCCTTCTCCTGTTCAAGATGTGATAAATCTTTCAGTCGGAAAGAAGAGCAGAAGTTACATGAACATTTATGCTTTGCTCAACATCATCTTGAGACAAATACTGAAGTGGAGTGTAGCATTTGTCATTCAGTTTTTACAGAAGCAAAAGCCTATCGAGATCATCACCATGAACACTCTCATCCATTTAAGTGTGAAAAATGTGGGAAAAGATTCATCAAAATTGGCACCTTGACGACTCACACTTGTCAGGAAACTGTGGTAGATGAAGATAATCCATTTTCTTGTGACCTGTGCATGAAAACCTTCCGCACTGAGAAATATCTGCAGAGGCATCAAACCATCCATGAAAAGCCTCAGTTTGAGTGTGAGTATTGCAACAAGGTTTTCTACCGCAAGGACTACCTGAATAACCATGTCTGTAAGCTGCCAGATGGCACCACGGTGAGAATTGTCAGGAAAAGGGATAGAATATTCATCAAAGAGAACTTGGTGTGCCATCTCTGTGGGCGAACATTTGTCAGCTCGAGCAATCTGAACAAACACATGAAAATTCATGGAGAGAAGCAGAATGAATGTCCTCATTGTCAGAAGAAATTCCATTACCCAGCATATCTCCGAGAACACATTAAGACAGTCCATCAGCGTGCCTATCAGTTCCAGTGTGCCGACTGTGGCAAGATCCTGCACTCAAAGACTGGTCTGGCAGCTCATCTAAAGCAGTTCCATAGCAGACAGATCCAGCTGTACCAGTGTGGGACGTGCCAGAAGACGTTCAGACAGAAGGGCAATCTCAAGACTCACATGTACTCTCATACAAAGGAGAAGACGTTCATGTGTGACTTCTGTCACAAGATGTTCAAGTATCCGGATCAGCTGAATCGCCATCGTCTCGAACACACAATGACAAACAAACTTAACTGTGAATTTTGTGACAAGAAATTTTGTCGTCCATACCAGCTCAAGAAGCATGTACAGACATTCCACAGTGGTGTTGTGTACGTTTGTGATATTTGTAACGAGCGTTGTAGTCACAAGCACACCATTGTCCGTCACTATAAGCGTAAGCATCCGGAAATCAGCAGCGTGTTTGATCATCAACCTGATTTCCTGACCCAGCTCCAGCAAGAACATGCAGACAATGAAGGGCAGGTTGACATCAAACCAAACATAGCCAGTATTGTTCAGGCGATCGACCACGTGGAGACAACAGTTGTGACGACTGAGGGGGCGGACGGAGAACAACAGTACACAGTGGCGGAGATTCAGACTGATGGGGACGGGTATCTGCCGCAGGTGGCAGCAGAGGCATTACAGAATCTGTCCAACACCATCATTGCTTCTGAAGGGGAGGGAGGGACATTGACCATACCCCATTCCATTGAGGGACCCGATGGTCAGCAGACAGTTGTAATTTTACAGATTGTGAACCCAGGAGAAGAAGAGACATCCATTCAGGAGATACAAGAGATTCAAGAGGTACAGGAAATTCAGGAGATACAATGAAGATAACATAAAGATACAGTGACTATGAACCTTACTGCTGCTACAGATACAGTGAAGACTTGACGTCGACCTCACTACTACTGCAGATTCAGTGAAGACTTGGTGTGCACCTCACTACTACCGCAGATTCAGTGAAGACTTGACGTCCACCTCAATGCTGCTACAGATACAGTAAAGACTTGACGTCCACCACAGATACAGCGAAGACTTGACATCCACCTCACTACTACCACAGATTCAGTGAAGACTTGGTGTGCACCTCACTACTACCGCAGATTCAGTGAAGACTTGACATCCACCTCACTGCAGCTACAGATACAGTAAAGACTTGACGTCCACCACAGATACAGCGAAGACTTGACATCCACCTCACTACTACCACAGATACAGTGAAGACTTGATTTCCACCACAGATACAGTGAAGACTTGACATCCACAACAGATACAGTAAAGACAGGACGTCCAATGTTTAGGACATGCACTCAAGAAGGTGCAGTGGAGCACTCGCCTTTTGTCAAACAGCTGTCAAGTCATGCTGTCTTGTGGGTTTTTTCACCATTCATGACTTTATTATTTGCAGCACATTTCATCCACACCCAGTATCAACCGTTTGTGTCTGTATATGTTGAGGTTATGTAACATTTTGGCTTAGCTGAAACCTTATCATGCTTACCTGTATTGGCAGGTCAGTATTTTTATTGGGAAACTAGGCTCTGGCCCGTGGTCCGCAAAATCAAATTGGCTTGAAGTCATTCAAACCACAGTTTGTATACTCAAGTTGAATTTCTAGCAGTTGATGCTAACGCCAATATTACACATACCCAGGCTCTTATTTCATTTATCAGGGGTGGTGGGGTAGCCCAGTGGTTAAAGTGTTGGCTCTTCACGCCGAAGACCCGGGTTCGATTCCCCACATGGGTACAATGTGTGAAGCCCATTTCTGGTGTCCCCCTTGCTGGGATATTGCTAAAAGCACCATAAAACCATACTCACTCACTATTTCATTGGTCAATGATTACAGACATACACCAAAAATAGACACCTGATCATGCAGCACAATATCCCTGTGAGGCCAGGTCTTGTCTTGAACTATGGATTACACACCAAATACTTAACAAATAAAGTAAGGTATCATGAATATTTGGGGTTATTTATTAAATTGTGTGCTATGTCTTCACTGCAGAAAAATATTTCTGTCTTCAACTTCATCAATTGACAAGGTTTGGCAAGAGTGTTGTGTATTCAAAGATACTGACTTTCAGTGTTTGCTTAACTTCAGTTAGTTTTGTCCAAATTCTGCAAGTTTGGTGACCAATAATGTAAGATAATGTTACTTTGTGATGACAGTTGGTTATTGTTTGTTTCCTTCTACTTGATGTTATTACATCTAAAGTTGGCATTGTGCAGTTCAGATATGAATTTCAGTTAACACGTTTTGATTTACATGAATGAGGTACTTGACCTAGTCAGGATTTCATACAGAAGATGACTCACACCAGGATACATAATTAAGTATGTTGTGAACCTTGTAACAACGGTAACAATTAATATTCCACTAGATATTGTGGCTGACATCATGTATCATGACTATTGTGTGATATAATTGTGAGAACTGAGCCAGCTAAGAGTGGGCATTGTTTGAGGCATGCCATAAAACATTTATTTAGCTTGTATGTCTACTAAGTCTGTCTCTTGAAGATGGTGGAAACACAATAGGTATCTCTCATGGAATTTGTTCTGAATGTCGAGATGCTCACGTGTGAGAAACAGCTACTCATAAATAACATACATGTACTTCATCTGTCTTGGAAACTTTGCATAGTGTCTATTTTCAAAACTTTTATGTTTCAAAAACATTCTATGGTATAATTGTATGTCCTATTTAATGCACAGTTTCACAAAGTGAAATTAAGTGCAATTAAAACTGCTTTGCAAAAGTGAATGTAACAAATACTGACTTCACAAATGAAAATAAGTACTAGCTGTAGAACACAGCATGTAAACCAAAAAAGTCTGCTGTTATTTTTAGACAATCATATGATACTGACGATAACAGCAATGTCTCATTATACATATGAATGAACATGATAAACAATGCCTACATTATGATGCAAGATCACTTGTAAAGATTGTTCAGTTTAAAACAAGTGTATTGTATCTTAATCTCAAGAGTCGTGCACCTCCATCATGAATGTGACTTTGAAAGCATGTGGAGAAGGTTTGTCAAACATTTTGGATTCAAAAAGATATTTCTCTGAAGTTTTATTAAAAGGTTTCAAGTTTTGAATGTTCATAGTTTCAATCTTTCAAATGGTTGCACTTGTTAGAATGTTATCATTTATTACTTGAGATGAACGTGATGAAGAACATGATGGAACTTTAATTTGACATTAGAGTTATCTCCCTTATACTAAATAGAAAGTTTGCTTAATCCATGCATTTTTTAACATTTTATGGTTCAATGTACAACAGATATATAGTTTCGATAGAACAGAACTAATGTCCTTCTTTGACTAATTTATTTCACTGATTTTGCATAATATAGCACTAAATATACTTGTTTTAGCTATTTTTTAGTCTCAACCAGGAGGCAGTTCTCCTAACAAAATTAGGTACACAGATAAGACACAAATTCACCATTTATTCAATCATAACCCATTTATCATGTTGGGGATGTGGACGATTGAGATTAACTTTCATTCGGTTAAATGTAACAGTAATTTTCTACACAAAACTTCTGCTATCTACACACTTATATGCCATACTCACTCATATGCATGCAATATGACAATATATTGTTTACATGGTTCAGTATATATGGGGTATTTTCAAGTTACACCATCTCATTTTGGGTCATGTGAACATTTGTATCAAAATGCTAATCGACCTGCTCCCATTTCCACAAAGCAATCTTACTGCTATAAGGATAAATAACTTGTGTGCTATAACTTCAGCTTACAAGAGATGTAATGCTAAGATTGCTTTCTGGCATGAGGCTGTGCATCACTCTCCTGCATTCAAACTGACTCATGATATGAAAGAATCCCTCTTTATTAGCACTGTACATGTATCATGTACCTGAAATATCTCCTGCATTCTCTTTTAATTTCTACGTTTAGAGTGTCTGTACATTATAATAATTTATTGTAGATGAACCTGCTTAGCTTAGTTTTTACAAGATCCCCCTTGTTTGTTACGCTTTGTGCATTCAACACTGGTGTTATTCTTAGACCTGTGATCCTAGGAATATGAAATGGTTAAAGGAAACCAGAATCCATGCATTGTTTCATTTTAATATGACATTGGGTAAGAACTGGAAATACTTTTCAGCATTTTGAATGATGTGGTGAATATTGCGGATGAATGTACTCTGAAGATTGTTGAATATAAGTTTTACTGAAGATGGTCTCTGAGAGTACTCTGTTTTGTATTCTGGTCTGTCAGACACACCTATTGTCTGCTTTGATGTATATATAATCCTCAGTTTGTTGTTCCTGTTAACTTTGTATTTGGGTGCATGAAAATGAAGGAAGTCTCACATAAACCATTGCTGAACATTCACAGTTTCCTGTTGTTTCTCAATGAATTCATGAACATGGTAGGACAACATTATCCAGGTTTGTTCCTTTAGTTGGAGTATTGGGGCATGTATTCCCTGAGAACGACTCTCAATGAGCGATTGTCTATTATCATCCAAAACTGTCTTCCACAGGAGATATTGCTTGTGTGAGATCAAACGATATCTCCTAGGAGAAATCGTTTTGACAGTAGATTTTGTACAATGCCCTGACAATGCTATGGCCCCATGAACTTGGTGACGTCACAATATTATGACATCGCTTCACTGCAAGCCTAATGGCAGTACTGTGTACAGAGATGTACATTTCTCATTGAAAACTGATGAAGAGTGATTTTGGGTGATAAATAGAATCTCACCCTCGTGTCTTCTGATATCAAATATATCAACACTCGTTGATAAAAGTTAAAATATCCTCGGCAAGCCTCGGATATTTGTAACTTTATCAACTCTGTTGATATAATTGATATCAGAAGACACTTGGGTGAGATTCTCTATTAACCCCAGAAGAAACCTACATGTAGGACATCAGTACTCAAGCTTCATCTAGAATGCATGTTTGAGTAACATCATCACCCAATGATTAGCCTACAGTGGGGATATGGGGTACTGAAAGATTCACCCTGAAAGGAAAAACATCGCTTCAGTATTCACCCCAAATGTCGGGCTTCAACACACCAAGTTTGTTAGAATGGGGAGACTATTATTCCATACCTGAACAGAGGACAGCATTACTCCATGTCGGATGAGTTATCACACAAATTATGAATACAATTATATTAATATATCATTATCGGACATCATGCGTTTTTGGACTTCAGAATTTACTCTTGCTATAACGAGGCGGTTTGCATTATTTTTCATGCCCGTCACTCAGCCAGTTTGAAACCGATCACTAGTACCTTACTAACCACAACGGAAAAAATAGTATTAATATCCAATTTCTAACCTGTCAAACGTGTAAGTGATAGATCGTCCGCTTTGTGTCGATATCTGTTATCACATAATTGCTTGGAGGAGGCCCAATGGACGTAAATGGCTTGTCAGTAAGGCGAGCTTAAAACATGCAACGTCATTTCAAAGTGCCATCTTCGCAGTTGGAATTTAGAAAGCTATCGATACGGATTTTCGGTTCATAACATTTGAATAATATGCCATCAACATGTAGATACCATATTAAAACTATTCTATGTTCGTTTGTATTTTGTGAGCACGTGTGTCTTATCCAAGCGAAATCTGATGACGCCAGGGTAATAATAAACTTGATCATATTCCATTACATGGAAGTGTAAAATGGATACTTTTGTAACTGAATGTTTTACATTTTCTTTGGGCTGTCACGGGAAAGCGGGGCGGTAGGATAGCCTCGTGGTTAAAGCGATCGCTCGTCACCATGGTCACGCCGAAGACTCGGGTAAGATTCCCCACATGGTTACAATGTGTGAAGCCCATTTTGGTGTCCCCTGCCGTGATATTGCTGGAATATTGCTAAAAGCTCGTAAAACTAAACACTCAATCACTCTTTCAGGACTGAAACAAGCACTTTAACTTCAGCATGACTTGTGATGTTGCATACAACCAGGAATGCTCTTTAGCATTAGGACTTCCATTCCACTGTCTTGGTCCAGCACATTTATGGCATCTGACTATTTTAGGATCGATGGGGTAGCAAAAGCTAAAAGCGGCGTAAAACTAAACTCACTCAATCACGTGAAAGCTAGGCGAGCAGACGACGCACTATGGGACTTAACTTTGTTCACATTGCATTGTTTAAGCCGTATCAGCCCCTCGGGTGATATAGAACGGGTTTAGTTATTACACCCCCTGCGATATGACCGTCTTTATGTCTGCTCTATTGCACATGCAAAATACCAAAATTGGTAGGTATATGATAATCAAAGTCACAGAATACACTCAAAGCAAAATCCCGAAATGAATGGATTTATCGTAAGGCTGCTTTGAACATTATTGCATTATATGTTATACAAAATCCATTTAAATCCGTTCTAGTGAGAGAAAATCCCAAATATTGTGCAAGATTCGGCCAGCTAAACGTCGTGTTCCTACGTCGGTGTATACCTTGGTAGGAACACGACGTTTAGCTGACTGAACTAGTGCAAGATGTGTACCACTTCGGAGAAACCCACGAGGTAGGACGTGTAACAGGAATCAGGGGAAATCTGGGGTTCGATTGGCTGGTTGGTTTGTTGTTCAACACCCACTCAGGAATAAGCCATCTATATGGCTGCGGTCTGTAAACAATCGAGTCGAGAAAATCCAGAGATCAACAGCATGAGCATCGATCTACGCAAATGGGATACGATGGCGTGTGTCAACCAAGTCAGCGAGCCTAACCACCCGATCCCGTTAGTCGCCACTTACGACAAACGTGAGTTGTTGGAGACCAATTCTAACCCGGATCTTCACGGGTCTCTGGGGTTCGAACCCTCAGACCAAGGATCACGATACTGACAAAGCTTGATGCAAACCCTTAATCCAAAAACATACAGTACACCAAATAACAGCCACTACTGAAAACAAGACAACCTGCTCCAATATAACTACTTGCTCCAACTCGTTAAATTGGATTTTTCTAGTGACTTATATAGAAATATGAACCTTCTCGGACACTAAGATCTGCTGATCAGTTACTTCTTAAAGTACCCAAATCCCGCCTCTGTGGCACGATCTTCCCTTGGGAATAATGAAATCCCAATCATTGACAATCTTTAAAAGCTGCATAAAGACACATCTCTTCCAAAAGTTTTATAAAGATTGATATACCAGTGAAAATATTGCACCTCTACTGCAGTGTATTTTAATTTTGTGTAGCGCCATGAGCAGACACCAAGTGCCTGGAGTTTTGGCGCATAACAAATCTACTGTATTATTATTATTACATAAAAACTAAGTCTGAAAGAGAAAATCGGTTTCGCTTTTAGGGTATATAGATACAAGAATCAATGCTTGTCCACGCGAAACAAATTGCAGTTTGCTATGAATGCGATCTAAAAGAGAAAGGAGAAAAAATCTCATTCACATGTATTTAGATGCAAACAACATTATAGTCCCTCGCCCCCATAAAAAAGGTTTCCATTGAATTCATTCTGATATTTTCTGTCAATTTCGATGCCAGTAGCCTATTTTTAAAAATGCATTGAGCACAGAAGAAACGCACATGCTATCGATAGCCTGTGACGAAACGATAAATCAATTTCAATTAAATATAGTACGTCGTCATGTACAGTTATCGTAATCATGGTGATGTTGCGTCCACGCACTGTAAGTACGTTTCATATTTCAGTCGAACAGAGTTATCTGCCCGTTACGAAAGCCATAGTCCAAGTACAGATTCCGAGTGGCAGGGGTTGACAGCGTGTGTGACTGCAAGCAAGATGAATGTAATTCTTGAGACATTTGTCGTCCTCTTCCAGGTGGCCTACCTGTGGCTGCGGGCTATAGTGGTGGCATTCATACCAGCAAGTTACAGAAGCAAGGATGTGGCCGGCGAGACGGTGCTTGTCACCGGAGCAGGTGACATATGACCCTGAGAGAGTTCTCTACACTGTAGCTGTTCACTGAAACTCTTTGTTCAACTTATTATACATACGCCCAACTCACTAAATTATATCCCGGTTGCAGTTTGTTTTCGTTATTGAGACATATCATGTTCATGCTTTTCACGTAATTGCTGTAACCAGAGACCATATACCCTCTATTATATGGCCTCTGTTGTAACTTGGATTAAAGTTTGCACGTTAAAATTAGTGATAATTAATTGAATGTGTCTATAGGTTTAACCAGATCAGTTTTATTTTTCAGTTTAACATATTTTCTTTGTAAACGTTCTTATATATCAGATTGTACTTCATGTTTTCACACATGTCATCGTATCCCAATTGCATAGATCCATGTAGTCCAGGATATAACTAGACGACTTTGCGCTATACCAAGGTGTGCTCTATGTATGCCGTGGCTGGAATACGAGTTTATTCATATGAACTAAGATCGATGCTCATGATGATGATCACTGGATTGTCTGGTCCAGACTTGATTATTTACAGACCGCCACCATATAGCTGGAACATTCCAGAGTGCAGCATTAAGCAACAAACAAACACGCTTTACATTTTCAGAATTTAGTTTTGATCAAGATGGTCTATAATATAACGTAAGAAATTATATCAATTTTGCTTATGAAGTGAATTTAAAGTTTAGTGTAAATGTTAATGCCATTTATTTTCATTTGGTCTGTCTCTGATTCCATTTTGTAATGAAAACCTGCAAAATGCTGATGTTGATAAAGGATTTATCATTCACTGACTTTGCAATATGTATACGTAGTCTGGACTCTAGATTGACAGTTTACAAAATGATCTTATTTATAATATGTATGTATAAATAAAATATAAAATTGAAATTCAGAAGAAACCCCCAAAGTCCTTAGTTACAGGGAACCTACAGGTGAGACACAGTCATTCTAGATGTGGAAGTCAGTCTATTGTCCTTGGTCTGAGAGACCCATTCAATGATTCATTCCGTTCTCATTCATGATGATCTGTGTAATTTTCAGGAAGTGGTTTAGGCAGACTGCTGTGTATCCGATTTGCACGACGTGGGTGCCGGCTGATATTATGGGACATCAACGCTCAGGGGATGGCAGAGACAGCTGAAGTGTTACGCAAACTAGGCTCTGTACCAGTGTCATACACCGTTGATCTGTCCAGAAAAGATCAAATCTACGATACAGCTGAACAGGTGGGAGCTTCACACTAATGTTAGTCTGATTAATTGAAATAATCAAAGATTGGTCGCAGTGAATAAACGACCAAGCAATCGATCATGTTTTCTTATAATCGAACACAAACAATTCTGGAACACTTTTTTCGTTAACAATATTTTTCACAGGTTTTGTCTGTTACATTTCATGAGCACTACAAGCTCGTTCCAAGTCATGATTGAATTTATCCTGAACACCCCAAGACATTTATGTCCCTAACATACTAGTCATCCTTTAAAGATGTGAAATTTGCAAAAAATAACACCAAAGAACTACATGGTTTTGTGCAGACAAAAATAAGCAGGAAATTTCATAAAGGACGTTAACCAATTATTTTCGATGATTGATCGGTTGTAATGAACCAGTCAACAATTATGAGATTTTTTACCAATTCCCAACACTACTTTACTCTCATTTCAATTCATTCAGAATATATGTGCAATTGTATGTGTTAATTATTTATGTCATTCCACACACAAACAGCATGCTTTCAGAATGTGAAGTGGACTGATCAGAACCATCTTGTAGAAATATCATGAGTCTGTTAGATCATTGGTTATCAGGGATTTACATGGAGTCCTGTATTTGATGGTCCCTGGGACTCATACTCTTAATTTTCAGGAGTCTTGGACAACAAAATAGGGGTCGCAGACACTTAAATATTATGGTTAATATTGTTATTGTATTGTGTATCATGATCATCACATTGTTACAGTAATTGAATTACAAATGGTACCATAACCCAGCTAGTAGCAAACTCAGTGATAACTTGTTGTCACTTGATTGGAAATTTTACAAAAAGTATTTTGGACTTTTTCTGCATCCTTGTGGATGTGCTAATACATTTTGTTGCGTCCATTGTCAATGTTTATGCGTATAGGACTCCTGTAAATCCCTGCGGTCACCCATTTGGTTCTGGGGTGGTGGTAGGAATAGGAGTCCCAGGGACCCTTAAATATAGGACTCGAGGTAAGTCCCTGGTGACCCCCCTTTGAAACCATCATCACCTCCCCCCCCACTTAAATTATGAAACACCCTAAGGTGTATTTTGAGAATATAAGTCTCTTCATAACACAGGCTGGAGAATATTACACTAGCCTTAGGAAATGCTATCAAACCAATAATGCCTTTAATCTACAGTTTCACACATCCACTTTGTTCATAGGATTATTAATACATCTATGTTTAGCTTAGATAAAACGTGTATGTCCTGCAAACTTAAATGCTGCATTCTTTCATTTTCCCCCTGATCCTGATTACAAACCCAAGTTAACCTTTCCATGTTGTTAAAACAACCAATCACAATCACAAACACAATCATGTAAATCGAGAGTATATCAAGTATTTAGTTATGAAATATATGATTATATAAAGATATGTGTCAGTTATTCATTGGTGTAAATGAAAGACTAATGAAGCAGAAATACTTCATACAGGCAACATTTATCAACATGGCAGCTGTACTGCACATAACCAAACATTTTATTAAAGCACATGAATTAAAAAATCAAATGCTTTGGAAATGGTGAATTCCTTATCAGAATGGAACAATTATGGCAATCTGTTCCTGTGGGTAATATTGCTGATAATGAAAGAATTATATTTTATGTATAGTAAATCTGATGGTGTAGAATATGTCAGTGTTCCACTGCAAGTATGTCACAATCTACTGAATGATTGTGAGCTGGTGGTATTGTTTGTCTACAGTACAACCTTCTGGCAAATGGAAACTTTTACAATTCATATGGTTATCTGTATGATGTTACCTTTTCTGCCTTTAGCCTGCCACTCCTCCAGAGTTTCTGAAGGGAAAGCAGCATAAAAATGGAACTGACACAACCTTAAAAATCTTAGTAATACAATTCATTTTGTAGATGAAATATTGATAATAGCCCCATGTAATAGCCTTTTAAGACCTCCATGTTATAATGTTGCTAACATTCTGGAAAATTCATTGTTACAGTCATGTCTCATTTTTATGGGTCGACTAGAATAATTTTTAAGGGTGATGTGGGATTAATTCTTGACAGAGCAGTATTCCAGTCATAGCACAGCGTGTTAGCTTATTGTGAGCTTGACTGTGGTACTGTCAAAACTAGAAACATGATCAAGGCAAACATCCATTCATTATTTTTGCTATGCCTAAGGACTCAACACTATACAGTGAATTGTCACTGCCTTGGATGACTGCGAACCCCACCACACCCCACCCCATGCTTAAGGAATAACCAGTGATATATACTGATGATAAGAAGTTAAAGAACAATTGGGTGCCATTGTACAAAACAACCTTAGCACTGAGGTGATCGTAACTCCCATACCTTAACATAGACTTACGACAGTCTTAACGCTAAGGTTGTTTTGTACAATGGCACCCTGCTCCTTTCATACTATTGTAATCCTTGAGGTTCGCGGGGTAGAATAGGTCTTCAGCACATGCTTTCCACAAAAGGTGACTATGCTTGTTGTAAGAGGCGACTAACGGGATCGGGTGGTCAGGCTCGCTGACTTGGTTGACACGTGTCATCGGTTCCCAATTACGCAGATCGATGCTCATGCTGTTGATCACTGGATTGTCTGGTCCAGACTCGATTATTTACAGACCGCCGCCATATAGCTGGAATATTGGTGAGTGCGGTGTAAAACTAAACTCACTCACTCACTCATACTATTGTAGTAAATCTGACAATGTGACTACCTACAGGTTTCTACTTCACTGGACGTCCATTTCCTACCTGGAGAAACACTCAGGCTGTCACCAACCAGTTGATCTCTACCAACCAATATCAGACTTAAATTTATACTTCCTTATTTCATTGTATTTAAGAGTCCATTGCTGTCAATTTTCTTTGATTTGCAAGGTGTGGGTATGAGTGGATTAAGCATGTTATTGATGCAGCAAGGTATGTTTGTTTCTGTAGGTCAAGAGAGATGTTGGTGAAGTTGACATTCTTGTGAACAATGCTGGAATCGTAACTGGGAAGAAGTTTCTGGAATGTAAAGACGAGTTGATTCAGAAGACGATGGATGTCAACATTATGGCCCACTTCTGGGTAAGCAGCAGGAGAGATTGGCGAGTGTTGGTTTATTCACTTCTGAGACAACTTAATATTGTGTTGTCAGTATGATTTGGTTGATTATCAGCATATGTCAGGAGTGAAGACATATTGTCCCTCTGGCGAGATTCTGTAATAAATAACAGATTGCACAAGGTGTTGTTTTGGACAGTCCGTTATGTGGACACCTTCAGTGACCCTGGAAGATGTTTCTGGAGGCAGTGTAATTGATGATGCTGTGTTTTCTGACACCTGGCACAATATTTTGTTATCACATCACTGTTTGGTGAAGTAAGAAAATGGTGGGACAATTATTTTTATCCTACATGCGTTCAATGGCAAATTATGGATATTTTGGTTAGTAGCAGACTTACTTTGAGTTAAATCTGAAATGGTTTAATTTAGTTAGCAAAATAGATTTTTCAGAAAACCCTTATATGTTTTTTGTCTGTTGTCTGACCCAGGTTAGATTAGTCCATTTTTGTCTCCTACTTGAATATCCAGCACAATTACATGACAACAATACCCGAATGTGCTGGCAGTGAGGTTACTTCTGAGAGAAATGTCCTCCTTACTGTTTCAGACTGTGAAGTGTTTTGTTCCTGGGATGCTGGAGAGGAACCATGGCCATATTGTCAACATTGCCAGTGCGGCTGGTCTTTGTGGAGTGAACAGCTTGGCAGATTACTCTGCCAGCAAGTTTGCAGCAGTTGGCTTTGATGAATCTCTCCGCATGGAATTCTCGTCAATGGGAAAGACTGGAGTCCACACAACAGTTGTCTGCCCCTTCTACATCAACACAGGCATGTTTGAGGGAGTGAGGACAAGGTACAGTGTTAGCATACTGTATATGATTGTAGATAAGCCGAATTTTGAGAACCAAAGAAAGAAGTCTGTGGAAGGGGGTTGGCATTTCTTCAGGTTACACTTTCGTCAAACATTTTTTCTGGTGGTAAGAAAAGAAGAGAAAACGACTTTGTCAGTGAAGACTTCAAATTTGCAATGAAACATCACTAGACAAGAATATTTACCTAGATTTTGCTAGGCATTGTATTATATGCAGGGATTAAGATAGCCAAGTGTATTTGTCTCGGTATAAAGAGCCGGAAATAGCAATCAGCTGTGCTGTAGTCAAATCTTAAGGAGACCTGATGTTCTGGTCTAAAGTGCAGTCTACTGGGCAAAGGTCATCTTCCTGAAGTAAGGGAGTTAACCAACTATATAATTCCTATAACAAAGTCTAATAAGTGAGTTAACTCCCTTGCCATGGAAGATGGGAAAAGTTATTCAGTGCTAATTGGCTCTTTGTCTGTGACTTGACTGATATTGAATGCTTCTTTGATACTTAGGGTTTCTTGTGTAAAGGTTAGGATGGTTTGTAAACCTTCAACTCTGCCTTTTGCCTTTTCGATCAAGGGCCCTTTTACAATCATTAGGATTAGGCACCTCTTTCCAATCAAACACCCCTTCACAATCTGGGGGGTTGGCATCTGTGATAATCAAACATACATTTACTCTCCTTGAGATAAGTTGTGATTTACAGTTAAAGTTAGCAATATCTTTAAAAAAATTAACCTGTGTAAACATTTGCAATTATTATTGAATTCCAGGTTTAGTGGAGAATAGTGTATTTAATACATGCTCACAAATCATTTGCTGATGGCTGTGTAAGCAAGTACTACTTATTGGTGGGAATGCCCATGGTCCTTAGGGAAAGTGCTGTCTTGCTGATTCAATGGCTCAAACCCAGCTTCTAACTAGCGACAAGAGTTCGGTCCTCCTCAACCCATACTGACATATCCTGGAAGCCCTGCGATCCCAAGTCTTGATGAAGAGGGGTAATGTTCCTATCAGGTACCCACATTAACTTGTTACTCAAGGGACCATAGCGATGGTAGCACTAAGGTGATCGTAAGGGGCCCCAGCATCCGTACCCAAACGTAGCACTGATGCCCATACATCAACTGTGTTTTATGAATTGACATTTTTAACACAAATGTTTGTTTCAGATTTCCCCTGCTGCTCCCTATCCTGGACCCCGACTACGTCGCAGACTCCATCATCAGCGGCGTGTTGACCAACAGTCATGTTGTCATGCTGCCACCCGCTGTTGCTCTTGCTTCAGCTTTGAAAGGGTAAGAGTGAGTGAGTGAGTTTTAGTTTTACGCCGCTTTTACCAATATTCCAGCAATATCATAGCGGGGGAAACCAGAAATGGGCTTCTCACATTGTAGCCATGTGGGGATCGAACCTGGGGCGTGACGAGCGAATGCTTTAACCACTAGGCTACCCCACCGCCCCCTAATGTGCTTTAGGTTTAGTTGTGAAAATATTACTGCTGACTAGTGAGGTACCGGAAACAATATTGACATTGGTTTGGAAACTGCTTGGCAAAAACTTCACATTGTAGTACCAGTGCCAGAGTAAGATTTGGTGCCATATTATATTTCCTTTATAAGAATAGTTATTAATTAGTAATATATATATTTTTTCATTAGAAAAAAAGCATTAGTTGGATATTTAAATATATTTGCCACACAAGTTTGCGGGGGATTGATATGAAGCAGTGTTTCCGCTGACTTCATTATTTATTGGACACTGTGTCTGGTGACCTAAAATTTTACCGGTCATGAATGAAATTTGCCTGTCATATCCTATTACCATACTGTTAGTGCTCATTTTAAAGTTATTTTTAGCCTGGGTATTTCTGAAACATAACAATTTTTGCAACCATGAAAGCACAGCCAAGACTGTCTTTTCGCTAACCCATGATGTTTTTATTTTAATACATGATTATTTACCGGACACGCTGTCCAGCTGGCTTTCAATTTACCGGTCCCCAACAAATTTTACCGGCGATTTTCAGGTATATACCGGAGAACGGAAACACTGATGAAGTGATCCAAATGCTATTCAAGAAGGATTAAACGTATATTATGACCCTTTCTTTTTGTATAATGGTATACACCCACACAATCAATGGCTCTTACATCAAGGTAGACAGCGATTACGGAATGTGGTCTTTCTGGAATATACTTTTGTGTCGCTTTTTGAGTGTGTCCTGCTTATTTTCAGAATCCTACCAGTAAAATGTGCGATGCTACTGAATGATTTCTTAGGCATCAACCACACCATGGAGAACTTCAAGGGGCGACAGAAGAGGGACTGAACAGTTTGCTATTTCAGGGACCATCAGAATACCTGGGCTAGACCCATTTCATGTTTTGGTTTGCAGTTTCCTAGTCTGTGGATACTTGATTCTGAAAATGACATGCTGGTCTTGTCTGCAAAGTATGACATGATAGGGCCTAATTCAATAGATTATTTCAGTCTTGTTGTTCAGCGGTAAAGGTGGGCATCCTGTTCGAACAATTATGATGCCATCACAGAAATCAGTGCTGTGTTTAGAGCGTAACCATGATTCCAGTTTCTTTTTGACCATGTCTGATCAATACAAGGAAAATGAGGCACTATTGACTATTAAGATTTATTTCTTACAGATTTAATTGGAGTATCTATTAGTGGCACATCTGACTGCAGAGTCCACTGATCATGGGTCCACTGATCATGGGTCCACTGATTATCAGTCCATTGATCATGGGTCCACTGATTATTGGTCCACCGATCATGGGTCCACTGATTATTGGTCCACTGATAATCGGTCCACTGATCATGGGTCCACTAAACAAGAGTCCATTTCTCATTGGTCCACTGATTATCGGTCCACTTATCATGGGTCCATTGCTCATTGGTCCACTGATCATGGGTCCACTTATTATTGGTCCACTGATAATCGGTCCACTGATTATCTGTCCACTGATCATGGGTCCACTGATCATGGGTCCACTTATCATGGGTCCATTGCTCATGGGTCTTCTGATCATGGTCCACTGATAATCGGTCCACTGATCATGGGTCCACTAAACAAGAGTCCATTTCTCATTGGTCCACTGATTATTGGTCCACTTATCATGGGTCCATTGCTCATGGGTCTACTGATCATGGATCCACTGATTATTGGTCTACTGATCATGGATCCACTGATTATTGGTCCACTGATCATGGGTCCACTGATACTTTGATCCAGTTACTATCCTGGTTCTGTCACCACTATGGCTGTGCTCACTGCCACTTTGGACTTGGACCACCTACATTATGCCAACAATCCTAGTCACATCCACTGAATTATATCACTATTCTTAAATACTAATCCATTTGCCTCCACAACTTCCTTTTGAGTCTGCTTCAAGGGACTCTGTGGTACAAATATCCATCCAGTGTTCTTTCAGGACTGGGGAGGTGGGGTAGCCTAATGGTTAAAGCGTTGGCTCGTCACGCCGAAGACCCGGGTTCGATTCCCCACATGGGCACAATGTGTGAAGCCCATTTCTGGTGTCCCCTGTCGTGATATTGCTGGAATATTGCTAAAAGCGACGTAAACCCAACTCACTCACTCACCCTTTCAGGACTGAAGCAAGCACTTTAACTACGGCATGACTTGTGATGTTGCATACAACCAGGAATGCTCTTTAGCATTAGGACTTCCATTCCACTGTCTTGGTCCAGCACATTTATGGCATCTGACTATTTTAGGATCGATGGGTAGCATCGTGGTTGAATCACTCGCTCATCATGCAGGTTTGATTCCCCACATGTACAATGTGTAAAGGTCATTTCGGGGGTCCCCAGTGGTGATTGTACTGGATAATGGCAAACATTGGCATAGAACCCAACTCCCTCCCTCTGTGTAGTCAAACATAAGTTCATGATAAGATATAAGCTGTAGATGGTTGTGCCAAGGTGGATTCTTCATAAGAAACAATCCAAAACAACCTTTGCTGGATGTAAGAGGCAATAGAATGTAGGGTCAGACTAAATTATTTACAGGGCTGTTGTCAAACAACTGGAATATTTCAGACTGCAGCATTACATATTCCAATGTGAAACTTGCCGTTGTTTTCCGAGTATTAATAATTGAGGTGTAATATACTTGATAATGAGTGATGACTTAGACGTAATTAGACACAAGACATATCTAGACCTGTGAAATCTTAACTATTTCTGGAAATGTGACTGGCCATTAAAGAAAACTATCTTTCATTATTGTACGTTAGTATACATATATCCAGTTATATTATTGCCGTGAGTCATCATTTGGTGGCTGTTGGATATACAAACTGGAATGGGATATGTTGTGAACAGCTACCACAGTTCTTAGCTTTAAATCTCAATTATCATCCCTTGTTTCCATGGCAACGAACAGTTTGATAAAACAAGAGCAGCTTTTGGAATTGTTGCTTGTATGTCAGGATGATTAGATTCAGTTTTATGAAAGTGCCTTACATGTACAGGGTTTGACTGGTATATATTAGTAAGATGTACCATTTCTCAAATTCTTGCCACTATGCATATTATGTAATTAGTTGTATGAACAAGGTACTGACTGTACATTCAGGAGATCGATTACTCGAACTATTTTACAAGTGGATTTTGTTTATTATTCTTTGAGTTTAAATATTTATGGCATAATTTCAGAGAATGATGAATATTTTGTTTCATGTTATTATTTTAAAGGCTGTTGTGCATTTCAGTTTATTATACACATGCATCTACACAGAAATGCTGACAAGAAAACCATAATTGACAGATGCATGTTTCACGAAATGAAATAATGTAACCACATATTAATGTATGCCCAAAAAATCTTACTAAGTACACTCTCTGTTATGTAGTGACTGTGAGTACCCTAGCGGATAAAGCGTTCGCTCATTACACTGATAATAAGGTCATATGGGTTCAACTTCCCTCATACAGAGTGTGCAGTCCATAGTGTCATGATATTCCTGTATTGTTTCTGAATCAACATCCTCATGATATAAATCATATGTGATTATGTAGATGTCTGATTTGGAGGAGTGAACAGTTTACTGTACATTCACTGTAAAGGTTCACTTGGCTTTTCAGTGAACCTCACTTATTGACAAAGTGCCAACACTATCTCTCCCGGTTTTAAGTTAAGAATGTTTGTTTCATATGATCTTATCGAAAGAAGACGTTGTTAAGCATTATTTTTGCAAAAGAGGTTTATGTATATTTTGCTGTTTTGTCACTGTTGCAGTATAGGCAGGCTATTAGAGATGATGGTTTGAGTCAAGTTTCACTCAGGCTCCTATGCTGTTAAGAAGGGTCCTGTCATTTGTTTTTTCACAAGTCAGTGCTGTTTTGTTATGAATCATCAAATTTGTTGAATTTATATCTATATCAAAACTGATTAAATTTAATATGAAAGGACCATTTCTGTGTTCTGTGTTGAAATTGAGCAAACAATGCAAAAATCAAGGGATTCTGGTGTAAAATGTGTGTCTCCGCTTGGGACAATTTCACTGTGTAAATTTGTGTTCCCTATTTGCTAGGATGTTGAATCCCAGCCTTATTTGATCAATGTTTTGTGATGCCTCAGTGGTATAGTGGTTAAAGTGTCAGTCTGAAACAGTGATTTAATCTCCAGGTCTCATCATTTAAAATGGCTGTAAAAGATGGTACCTGATACCCTGTCTGGTGTTGGCCATTAAAGGGATTAACTGGGACTACTCGGAAAAGCCTTTGCAACTTCATCACTGAAGTCAATGGAATAAATTCTACATTAATGGACTAAAATTTGACAAATGATATCAAGTCTTCTGTACATCCAGAGCTACCTTATATTATGATTATTCATATAACAAATGAAATAACTTTGCAAATGTAAACTGTTGAAGATTGATTGAGTTCGAAATTGCTAAGCAGAGGGTAACAAAACTCGTGGACATGATAATTACTTAACTGGATTAAATTCACAGACAATACTTGACATTTAACATCACAACATCAGGCATCCAGATGAAGACTGCACCTTAAAGCTATAAAGACGGAAATGCAACTCGGCTCCTGCCTTAGCTAGTTCGGGCTAAGACCGCCACCATATAGTTCGAATATTGCTGAGTTGCTAGTTTAGAACTAAACTCACTCACCCAAACTCCATCACAAGACTGGAACCCGGTTCGATTCCCCACATGGGTACATCCCCCGCCGTGATATTACTGGAATATTTCTAAAAGCGGCGTAAAACCCCACTCACTCACAAGACTGGAACCGTTATAAGACGCAGGGGTCAACACGTGACCTATCCAGATCGCCGACCAACTGCAGCGCAGGACAGGTTGATACGGGTTCGTTACGTACGTGATGGACTCACCACGGCCACCTTTACAGCTACAACATCTACCACGATCGTCTAGAATTTCAGCACGGACAGTGAGGAACCGTAGGCGTCGCAGTTATTCGTCCGAGACGACCAGCTCGCATCCTCGATAATCTCCAGGGTATCCTCGAGCTGGTCATCTCAACTATAGTGGAGAGTGATCGTAACGTATACCCTGGAGATTATCGAGGATGACCAGCTCGAGGCGTCATACTGACTGATCGGCGTCGTCGGTTCCGACGTCAATGGTGTCAAGGACAACAGCGATGGAGACGTGTTTGGCTTAGTGCCAAGTCTTATTTTTTGTGCTTGAATGACGGAAGCCGCCATGTTTACAGACGTCGTGGGGTATGTTATTCTCGAAACTGCATACAGGACGTGGTCAGGTTTGGTGGTAAAGGGGTGGAACGTCATCTCCCATAACGGTAGAACAGACTTGGTACACATTCAGGGCCATTTTAGGGCACGACGTAACACAGGTGAAATTCTTCGGCCACAAGTCCTTCCCATTATGCGACGTCCGACCTCACACACGGCAAGACTGACAACGGCCCTTTTTAGGAACCACAACATCCCGCCATGACCCTCAAGGTCTCCGTTTCTAAACTCCATTGAACATTTATGGAATGTGTATCTTTATCAACGTCAGCAATCACGCTAGCAACAGCCACAGAACAGCAGTTGGCACATGCACTACAATAAAAGTGGGTGACCATTCCCTAGGTCATTTGATTGATTCCATGGGACGACCATGCCAAGTAGTTCTGGACTCTCATGGGGGCCATAAAATATATGGAGAACAGATGACCTTCACTTTGACATATATATTAAACATAAACTATAAATCTGAAGAAAATAAAGTTTCGGCTAGTTATTGGCTAGTTACCATACTTTGTCGCACGTATATTCATAATTAGTGGCTTTAGTCGGTTCCATTGTGTTCAAACATTCGTTGACGTCAAAGTGACGTCGAAATGTCACCCTATTTTCTATTTGACGTCAAATAACATATTGCAAATTATCATAAAGTTCTGCTAATTTGGTGAAAATAATCCGTTATGTAGATGGCAACACTGGTGTAACAGGAGACATACACTAGACCTGTCGACTCAGCGCTGTAAGAGGCGATAAATAGATCAGCTGACGTATTTCAGCAGGTGATAAGAAGTGACCAAGCAACGCTATCTTCCCACGTGTTAAACTTCAGGCTGGTTTTCATGCAGGGGAGTAAATTAACAAAACTTCCTCCTTAGAAATATTTATTAAGACATACAGATTCACTTTCAAGAAAAACAGCAACAGTAGATGATGTATATATAGATAACATATAAATTAATATATATGATATAGGTAGAATGGGCAATGGGTGCGTTAACGCCCCCGTGTGACTTCTGTAGGTAAAGGTCGAGAATAACAACCTGGACTGAACCAGGTAATCAAAGTCATGGCTGGTAGTTCCTGGCACGACTGAGATCTGTGGTCCGTGAGACTTCTTGTAAACACGCACTTTTTCACAGGTGACAAACACTAGACTAATATATATATATATATTTTGATAGAAACGAACTAACAATTCCTTTTAAATTGAAAAGGAGACCCTGAACCTGAGGAAATCTAGACTTGCTTCATTTTGGGCTTAAGCATTGCAGGAAGGGCTAGGCAGAAGGGGAAATAATGCGATCCAGGGGCTGTGAGATAGACTAGATAATCACATATATACTACACGTTTCATAAGCTGACTGTGCTGTTACTATGGCGTCACCCCAGCTGGAATTGGCTAAATATAGAATCGTAATGATGTATCCTGTTGACAATAAGAACGTTATGGAGAGTAAGCTATACGTTTACATACTGTTGTGTAAATGTCATGGCTAGTCTCGTCAATGTATAAGACAAATCCCTGATTAAAGTTGGTATTTATCTTTAGTTACCCAAATTTTATTTTCCTCTTTAATTTGGAGGGGAGACAAGGATGAGACAGTGTTTTTTATATATCTTTTTTTTGTGACCGTGTCCCTTGTTTCAGTATCAGTATTTTGGTACACAATGATAAATGAAAAAACTAATTTACCCTAATTTATACATAATGATTGACTAGGTAGGGTCGGGTCGATTGACAGAGCTGACTATTGGATTCAAGCCCACGTGGTAACCTGCTAACTCATATTTTCTGATCTAATATTATCTTTAACAGACAGACCTTTGAGACACTCCCACCATCACGTTAAAGAGCACATATTGTATAAATAACACAAGCATATGTTGTATTTAGCCCACACAGCACTTCAGTATATGTCAGCTGCAAATAGGTGAAATGTAAGGCTGGTATATCTATGTACTTTGAAATATATTCTATAAGTTCTAATCATGTTTAAACCAGTTGAGCCAGACATGTTGATGAAGTAAATTCCGAGCCATATATTCACTGACCATTCATTGTAGCCGAAAATAATATGAAGGAAAACCAAGTTCTAGTGATCACTTGCTTGATAACGGCGCTAGTATCTAGACTGAAACGTCGCATTCATTGCAATAAAGTGAGTGAGTGAATGAGTTTGGTTTTACGCCGCTTTTAGCACTATTTCAGCAATATCGCGGCGGGGGACACCAGAAATGGGCTTCATGCAATAAAGATGTCACTATCCATATAACTTGGTTTTCCTTCATCTTTACATCTTCTAAAAATGCCCCCCAAAGAAGATAAATAATACGTCGACTACAGAATATACATTAACCGTAATATATGGGGAAACCACACGAGTGCTGGTATCGGGGGCTCGTCGACTCATGACTTCTGTTACACGTTGAATCAGATTCTAATGTCAGGTGAGCCAAAGATGTCAATGTCCAAGGAGACATTGTGACATCCATGTCCCTTTTTCTGATGAGCAATGCTTCGATCAAATGTTCAATACCTTAATTATATATTTGGCAACTCCTGAATGTAAAAATACAAATAGATTGTGCAGAGTTAATAGTCTAAACACACGAGGTTCCATAGTGAAGGTTCCATAGTGAAGATTGGTTTCAAAAACCATTTGGTTTTGTTTGGAAAGACTCAACTCTTGCTCGAAGAGTCCCTTTAAATATATATAAGCACATTACTGTTCAAAGACACTGGCCATCACAACCTCTTAAAGATACGTAATCAGATGTAGAACGTCTGGCGCGTCCATGAATACACGAGACAATGATTGCGAATGCATTTGTTCAGTCTGGGCTGGTACTGATAGAAGCTTCGCCCCTATCGAGGTCAAGTAAACAGATTGGCCGGTTCGGATTTTGATGACTATGCGTCTACAGACTAGTTGTTATTGAACTGCCTTTCCCCGCCCTTTGAAGGTTTTCATCATCGAGTTTACTCCCATGAAGTCGCACAATAGGAACACTACTTTAATTGGAAGAATGCTGAAAGGAAAAGAAAATCCCGTTTGAATTAGTAGTGCAATTTATAGCGATGAATCTCGATCGGGACCCATAGACGAAACAAAGTGGCCCGTACGTATGTATATATAATTATGTATACAAGATTCTGATCGTTTGACACTTCATGGAAGTCTACGATAACACTTAAATATATGGTTATGAGAAAATAGTCTACAACACACATTGTAATTAGAACGGTTTCATTAAGGTGTATTTGTTTGTTGTTGATTGTTGATGGGATACACATACCCTTTGAGAAATGGGACATGCATAACCTTTGAGCCATGTCATATACACCGTACATAGTCTTTGAGCCATGTCATATACACGTACATAGTCTTTGAGCCATGTCATATACACGTACATAGTCTTTGAGCCATGTCATAAACATACCCTTTGAGCCATGGGATACACATACCCTTTGTGAAATGGGACATACATAGCCTTTGAGCCATGTCATATACATACCCTTTGAGCCATGGGATATACACGCCCTTTGTGAAATGGGACATACATACCCTTTGAGCTATGTCAATACATACCCTTTGAGCCATGGGATATACATACCCTTTGAGCCATGTCATATACATACCCTTTGAGCCATGGGATATACATACCCTCTGAGTCATGTCAAATACATACCCTTTGTGAAATGGGACATACATACCCTTTGAGCTATGTCAATACATACCCTTTGGGCCATGGGATATACATACCCTTTGAGCTATGTCAATACATACCCTTTGAGCCATGGGATATACATACCCTTTGAGCCATGGGATATACATACCCTTTGAGAAATGGGACATACATACCCTTTGAGCCATGTCAATACATACCCTTTGTGCCATGGGATATGCATACCCTTTGAGCTATGTCAATACATACCCGTTGTGCCATGGGATATGCATACCCTTTGTGCCATGGGATATACATACCCTTTGAGCTATGTAACTACATACCCTTTGTGCCATGGGATATGCATACCCTATCAGAAATGGAATATACATACCCTTTGAGCTATGTCAATACATACCCTTTGAGCCATGGGATATACATACCCTTTGAGAAATGGGACATACATACCCTTTGAGCCATGTCAATACATACCCTTTGTGCCATGGGATATACACACACTTTGAGAAATGAGACATACATACCCTTTGAGCTATGTCAATACATACCCTTTGAGCCATGGGATATACATACCCTTTGAGCTATGTCAATACATACCCTTTGAGCCATGGGATATACATACCCTTTGAGTTATGTCAAACATACCCTTTGAGCCATGGGATATACATACCCTTTGAGCCATGGGATATACATACCCTTTGAGAAATGGGACATACATACCATTTGAACCATGTCCAATACATACCCTTTGTGCCATGGGATATACATACCCTTTGTGTCATGGATATACATACCCTTTGAGCTATGTAAATACATACCCTTTGTGCCATGGGATATACATACCCTTTGTGCCATGGGATATACATACCCTTTGAGAAATGGGATATACATACCCTTTGAGCCATGTCAATACATACCCTTTGTGCCATGGGATATGCATACCCCTTGAGCTATGTCAATACATACCCTTTGTGCCATGGGATATGCATACCCTTTGTGCCATGGGATATACATACCCTTTGAGCTATGTAAATACATACCCTTTGGGCCATGGGATATGCATACCCTATCAGAAATGGAATAAACATACCCTTTGAGCTATGTCAATACATACCCTTTGAGCCATGGGATATACATACCCTTTGAGCCATGGGATATACATACCCTTTGAGAAATGGGACATACATACCCTTTGAGCCATGGGATATACATACCCTTTGAGCCATGGGATATACATACCCTTTGAGCAATGTCATATACATACCCTTTGAGCCATGGGATATACATACCCTTTGAGCCATGGGATATACATACCCTTTGAGAAATGGGACATACATACCCTTTTAACCATGTCAAATACATACCCTTTGTGCCATGGGATATACACACCCTTTGAGAAATGGGACATACATACCCTCTGAGTTATGTCAAATACAAACCCTTTGTGCCATGGGATATACATACCCTTTGAGAAATGGGACATACATACCCTTTGAGTTATACATAGCCTTTGAGCCATGGGATATACATACCCTTTGAGAAATGGGACATACATACCCTTTGAGCTATGTCAAATACATACCCTTTGTGCCATGGGATATACATACCCTTTGAGAAATGGGACATACATACCCTTTGAGTTATACATACCCTTTGAGCCATGGGATATACATACCCTTTGAGAAATGGGACATACATACCCTTTGAGCTATGTCAAATACATACCCTTTGTGCCATGGGATATACATACCCTTTGAGAAATGGGACATGCATACCCTTTGAGCTATGTCCAATACATACCCTTTGCGAAATGGGATATGCATACCCTTTGAGAAATGGGACATACATACCCTTTGAGTTATGTCAAATACATACCCTTTGTGCCATGGGATATACATACCCTTTGAGAAATGGGACATACATACATACCTGTCAGCCATGGGATAGATATACAGAAATGGGACATACATACCCTTTGAGCCATGTCATATACATACCCTTTGATCAATGTAAATACATACCCTTTGACCCATGGGATATACATGCCCTTTGAGTTATGTCAAATACATACCCTTTGAGCCATGGGATATACATACCCTTTGAGAAAATGGGACATACATACCCTTTGAGCTATGTCAAATACATACCCTTTGAGTCATGCCAAATACATACCCTTTGAGCCACTGGATTTACATACCCTTTGAGAAATGGGACATACATACCCTTTCAGCCATATCAAATACATACCCTTTGAGAAATGGGATATACATACCCTCTGGGTCATGTCAAATACATACCCTTTGAGCCATGGGATATACATACCCTTTGAGAAATGGGACATACATACCCTTTGAGCCAGAGAAAATGGGACATACATACCCTTTGAGCTATGTCACAAATACATACCCTTTAAGCCATGTCAAATATATACCCTTTGAGCCATGGGATACACATACCCTTTGAGAAATGGGACATACATACCCTTTGAGCTATGTCAATTACATACCCTTTGCAGCCATGGCATATGCATACCCTTTGAGAAATGGGACATACATAGCCTTTGAGCTATGTCAAATACATACCCTTTGAGCTATGTCATATACATACCCTTTGAGCCATTGGACATACATACCCTTTGAGCCATTGGATATACATACCCTTTGAGCCATTTATACATACCATTTGAGCCATGTCATAAACATACCCTTTGAGCCATGGGATATACATACCATTTGCGTCATGTCATGTACATACCCTTTGAGCCATGTCATATACATACTCTTTGATCCATGTAAATACAAACCATTTGAGCCATGGGATATACATACCCCTTCAGCCATTGGATATACATACCCTTTGATCCATGGGATATACATACCCCTTCAGCCATGGGATATACATACCCTTTGGGCCATAGGATATACATACCCTTTGAGCCATGGGATATACATACTCTTTGGGCCATGGGACATACATACCCTTCAACAATGGGATATACATACCCTGTCAGCCATGGGATATACATACCCTTTGAGCCATGTCATATCCATACCCTTTGATCCATGTAAATACATACCCTTTGACCCATGGGATATACATACCCTTTGAGCCATGTCATATACATACCCTTTGAGCCATGGGATATACAAACAATTTGAGCCATGGGATATACATACCCTTTCAGCGATGGGATATACATACCCTTTTCAGCCATGGGATTTACATACCCTTTGGGCCATGTCATATACATACCCCTTCAGCCATTGGATATACATACCCTTTGATCCATGGGATATACATACCCTTTGGGCCATGGGATATACATACCCTTTGAGCTATGTAAATACATACCCTTTGAGCCATGGGATATACATACCCTCTGAGCCATGGGATATACATACCCTTTGAGAAATGGGACATACATACCCTTTGAACCATGTCAAATACATACCCTTTGTGCCATTGGATATGCATACCCTTTGTGTCATGGGATATACATACCCTTTGAGCTATGTAAATACATACCCTTTGTGCCATGGGATATACACACCCTTTGAGAAATGGGACATACATTCCCTCTGAACTATGTCAAATACATACCCTTTGTGCCATGGGATATACATACCCTTTGAGAAATGGGACATACATACCCTCTGAGATATGTCAAATACATACCCTTTGTGCCATGGGATATACATACCCTTTGAGAAATGGGACATACATACCCTTTGAGTTATGTTAAATACATACCCTTTGAGCCATGGGATATACATACCCTTTGAGAAATGGGACATACATACCCTTTGGGCTATGTCAAATACATACCCTTTGTGCCATGGGATATACATACCCTTTGAGAAATGGGACATACATACCCTTTTAGTTATGTCAAATACATACCCTTTGAGTCATGTCAAATACATACCCTTTGAGCCATGGGATTTACATACCATTTGAGAAATGGGACATACATACCCTTTCAGCCATATCAAATACATACCCTTTGAGAAATGGGATATACATACCCTCTGGGTCACGTCAAATACATACCCTTTGAGCTATGTCACAAATACATACCCTTTAAGCCACGACAAATATATACACTTTGAGCCATGGGAAACACATACCCTTTGAGAAATGGGACATGCATACCCTTTGAGCTATGTCAATTACATACCTTTTCAGCCATGGGATATACATACCCTTTGAGAAATGGGACATACATACCCTTTGAGTTATGTTAAATACATACCCTTTGAGCCATGGGATATACAAACAATTTGAGCCATGGGATATACATACCCTTTCAGCGATGGGATATACATACCCTTTTCAGCCATGGGATTTACATACCCTTTGGGCCATGTCATATACATACCCCTTCAGCCATTGGATATACATACCCTTTGATCCATGGGATATACATACCCTTTGGGCCATGGGATATACATACCCTTTGAGCTATGTAAATACATACCCTTTGAGCCATGGGATATACATACCCTCTGAGCCATGGGATATACATACCCTTTGAGAAATGGGACATACATACCCTTTGAACCATGTCAAATACATACCCTTTGTGCCATTGGATATGCATACCCTTTGTGTCATGGGATATACATACCCTTTGAGCTATGTAAATACATACCCTTTGTGCCATGGGATATACATACCCCTTTGAGAAATGGGACATACATTCCCTCTGAACTATGTCAAATACATACCCTTTGTGCCATGGGATATACATACCCTTTGAGAAATGGGACATACATACCCTCTGAGATATGTCAAATACATACCCTTTGTGCCATGGGATATACATACCCTTTGAGAAATGGGACATACATACCCTTTGAGTTATGTTAAATACATACCCTTTGAGCCATGGGATATACATACCCTTTGAGAAATGGGACATACATACCCTTTGGGCTATGTCAAATACATACCCTTTGTGCCATGGGATATACATACCCTTTGAGAAATGGGACATACATACCCTTTTAGTTATGTCAAATACATACCCTTTGAGTCATGTCAAATACATACCCTTTGAGCCATGGGATTTACATACCATTTGAGAAATGGGACATACATACCCTTTCAGCCATATCAAATACATACCCTTTGAGAAATGGGATATACATACCCTCTGGGTCACGTCAAATACATACCCTTTGAGCTATGTCACAAATACATACCCTTTAAGCCACGACAAATATATACACTTTGAGCCATGGGAAACACATACCCTTTGAAATGGGACATGCATACCCTTTGAGCCATGTCAATTACATACCTTTTCAGCCATGGGATATACATACCTTTGAGAAATGGGACATACATACCCTTTGAGTTATGTCAAATACATACCATGGGATATACAAACAATTTGAGCCATGGGATATACATACCCTTTGAGCGATGGGACATACATACCCTTTTCAGCCATGGGATTATATACCCTAAACATACCCTTCAGCCATATATACCCTTTGAGCCATGGGATATACATACCCTTTGAGCCATGGGATATACATACCCTTTGAGCCATGGGACATACATACCCTTTGAACCATGAGCCATGGGATATACATACCCTTTGTGGGACATACCCCTTTGGATGTCAAATACATACCCTTTGTGCCATTGGAAATGCATGGGATGGGATATATACCCTTTGAGCTATGTAAATACATACCCTTTGTGCCATGGGATATACACACCCTTTGAGAAATGGGACATACATTCCCTCTGAACTATGTCAAATACATACCCTTTGTGCCATGGGATATACATACCCTTTGAGAAATGGGACATACATACCCTCTGAGATATGTCAAATACATACCCTTTGTGCCATGGGATATACATACCCTTTGAGAAATGGGACATACATACCCTTTGAGTTATGTTAAATACATACCCTTTGAGCCATGGGATATACATACCCTTTGAGAAATGGGACATACATACCCTTTGGGCTATGTCAAATACATACCCTTTGTGCCATGGGATATACATACCCTTTGAGAAATGGGACATACATACCCTTTGAGTTATGTCAAATACATACCCTTTGAGTCATGTCAAATACATACCCTTTGAGCCATGGGATTTACATACCATTTGAGAAATGGGACATACATACCCTTTCAGCCATATCAAATACATACCCTTTGAGAAATGGGATATACATACCCTCTGGGTCACGTCAAATACATACCCTTTGAGCTATGTCACAAATACATACCCTTTAAGCCACGACAAATATATACACTTTGAGCCATGGGAAACACATACCCTTTGAGAAATGGGACATGCATACCCTTTGAGCTATGTCAATTACATACCTTTTCAGCCATGGGATATACATACCCTTTGAGAAATGGGACATACATACCCTTTGAGTTATGTTAAATACATACCCTTTGAGCCATGGGATATACATACCCTTTGAGAAATGGGACATACATACCCTTTTAGTTATGTCAAATACATACCCTTTGAGTCATGGGATATATATACCCTTTGAGAAAATGGGACATACATAGCCTTTGAGCTATGTCAAATACATACCCTTTGAGCTATGTCATATACATACCCTTTGAGCCATTGGACATACATACCCTTTGAGCCATTGGATATACATACCCTTTGAGCCATGTCATATACATACCCTTTGAGCCATGGGATATACATACCATTTGCGCCATGTCATGTACATACCCTTTGAGCCATGTCATATACATACTCTTTGATCCATGTAAATACAAACCATTTGAGCCATGGGATATACATACAACCCCTTCAGCCATTGGATAAACATACCCTTTGATCCATGGGATATACATACCCTTTCAGCCATGGGATATACATACCCTTTGGGCCATAGGATATACATACCCTTTCAGCCATGGGATATACATACTCTTTGGGCCATGGGACATACATACCCTTCAACAATGGGATATACATACCCTGTCAGCCATGGGATGGATATACATACCCTTTGAGCCATGTCATATCCATACCCTTTGATCCATGTAAATACATACCCTTTGACCCATGGGATATACATGCCCTTTGAGCCATGTCATATACATACCCTTTGAGCCATGGGATATACAAACCATTTGAGCCATGGGATATACATACCCTTTCAGCTATGGGATATACATACCCTTTTCAGCCATGGGATATACATACCCTTTGGGCCATGTCATATACATACCCCTTCAACCATTGGATATACATACCCTTTGATCCATGGGATATACATACCCTTTCAGCCATGAGATATACATACCCTTTGGGCCATGGGACATACATACCCTTTCAACAATGGGATATACATACCCTGTCAGCCATGGGATATACATACCCTTTGAGCCATGTCATATCCATACCCTTTGATCCATGTAAATACATACCCTTTGAGCCATTGGATATACAAACCATTTGAGCCATGGGATATACATACCCTTTCAGCTATGGCATATACATACCCTTTTCAGCCATGGGATATACATACCCTTTGGGCCATGTCATATACATACCCTTTGATCCATGGGATATACAAACCATTTGATCCATTGGATATAATACCCTTTGAGCCATGTGAGATACATACCGTTTGAGCCATGGGATATACATACCCTTTGAGCCGTGTGATATACATACCCTTTGAGCCATGGGATATACATACCCTTTGAGCCGTGTCATATACATACCCTTTGAGCGCTATGAAAGCGTAAAGAATCTTGGGAATGATGACGATGGCGGAGTTACACAATATGGCGTCCATGATGCTATCCACAACATCGTCGGGTTTCAGTTTGGGCAGGAGGAAGGAGAACCTGTAACAGAGCAGAACTCGGCCGTTATATGCCGATAAACACAACAGAACTCGGCCGTTATATGCCGATACACACAACAGAACTCGGCCGTTATATGCCGATAAACACAACAGAACTCGGCCGTTATATGCCGATAAACACAACTCGGCCGTTAGAACTCGGCCGTTATATGCCGATACACACAACAGAACTCGGCCGTTATATGCCGATACACACAACAGAACTCGGCCGTTATATGCCGATAAACACAACAGAACTCGGCCGTTATATGCCGATACACACAACAGAACTCGGCCGTTATATGCCGATAAACACAACAGAACTCGGCCGTTATATGCCGATAAACACAACAGAACTCGGCCGTTATATGCCGATACACACAACAGAACTCGGCCGTTATATGCCGATACACACAACAGAACTCGGCCGTTATATGCCGATACACACAACAGAACTCGGCCGTTATATGCCGATACACACAACAGAACTCGGCCGTTATATGCCAATTAACACAGCTGTACAGGAATTCGTGTAGAACAAACCGATTCTTAAATACGCTAAGACTTAATAAATACCAAGGAGGCGTCTGGTATAACCTTTAGTAGCTGCGGTAGAGTGTTGGTCTTTCTATTTTGTGGTGAACAGCGCTTTGAATACACCCGGGAGTCAGAAATGTTAAATCATGTACACTATTCCTCATTCCTCTCAACAATTGATCAGGGAATCAAATCATCAAATCACGTTCCTATAGAGATGTACTCATATATGGCGTAAATGACTGTAGTAACGTGAAAGAATGGGGGGTTCTGTAAAATCTTTCGAGTAGTAAATATCAAATACAATGGTTTTTCGATCGTCAACTTCATTTTTCTGTCCTGAACACAAACTACTACACCACACCAATCATGTCGGTGTAGACGAGCAGGGCCGTCTGAACAGAATTATAGGCCACGGGCAAAGCAGTGCACAACGGGAATGAATGTGTAGGTGGTAGATCAAATTATCTATAAGTATATTAGTACAGTATGTATTTGCTTATAGACTGCAAGACACAATATACACTTTTCAAAAAAAGAAACGCACAGGCGTTTTCACCAGTTCATTTCGATATATGTTGACAGCAATCGTCATTAAGATAATTCCCATGTTTGAATCCCGTTACTCATGTCGTGGTTGTTGTGTATTGCACTCAAACGCATCCCAAAATGTGTTTGTAAACGTTTGTCATAAAAAAATGAAAACGATATATGAAGTGCATGCAGAAAACGTTTTCCACGTAATGCACGTGCAATGTGTCGGTAACATGAGGTAGAGACATCGACTATAAAAGGCCAAACCAAATTCATCATTTCATTACGAAATTTACGACGTAAACGAAGATCATAAATGCCAAGATTTTGAATGCTACTGACCCAACGAAATATCGCCATTGGACGTTTGGAAGCAGGGGTTTCCCTAGACTAAGGCTTAGTCTCTGAATATATATAATTTTTATAGTAACAAACAAGCCCATTTATATTGAAAAGGAGCCCCAGGGAGACCAGAGATTCTGAACCTGAGGAAATCTAGACTTGCTTTATTTAGGGCTTTAGCACTGCAGAGAGGGCTTGGCAGTAGGGAAATTAATGTGGTTCAGGGACTGTGAGACAGACTAGTCTTCCCAGTCTGCCGTTGTAAGCTACTGCAACGTCCGCCGTAGCAACATATCTCGATTATGGCATCGATATACCCGCTTCAATTCGACCCAAGATCGTCCCAGAAGTGGAAGACCAAGAGGGACCTCTCCTGCTCAGGACCGATTCATCCGGGTGTTTCAACTACGTCACCGATTTGCTACAGCAACGGACACTGCAGGATAGGTGCCTGGTCTTCGAAGAATTTCCGACCAAACCATCAGATATCGTCTGAGAGAAATGAATTCGAGCACATCGACCAAACGTTGGATCTGTCCTGACACGACTACACCGACAATGACGTGTCCAATGGTGCAACAGGGTACAGACATGGAACCTAGCTGGGGAACTGGCGACACGTTTGGTTCAGCGACGAATCCCGTTTCCTAGCTCCTGCAACGACGGGATGTGAGACAACGTGTCTATCGACGTCAACACGAAGGTTTTGCGCCGAACTGCGGATAGATTTGGTGTGGGGAGCCATGTCCTACACGGGTAGATCAGTGCTAGTGGTGGTTCAAGCAAATCGCTACATCGACCAAATCCTGCGAGCTCACCTCCTCCCGCTATTTAAACGCCAGAGGGAGCAGTTTCAACACGACAACGCTAGACCCATAGAATCCGTAAACGTCACCATCGTCCTCAGACACTTGCTGAATGCGGTGCAGGAGGAATGGCGAATAATTTCCTAAGTGAAAATCCGACGACTTCCCTTCCAAGTGTCGAGCAGTGACGGCTGCAAGGGGTGGTGTCACCAGGTACTGACCTGAACGCCCCTTGTGCCACACATGCGCAGTGAGTGAACTGAATTAATGCTGACAATGACAACAATACATATGTTCATCCGTGTGTCCAATTTCCTTCATCTATGTTCAAGCTTAATCGACATATGTACACTTAAACACGTTTAATACATTTCCTTATTTTTGACCTGTGCGTATCTATTTTTAGGAGTTTACATGCATGTTCGTGGGGGCCAAAGTGTGCACATGCGCGAAGACGGCATTGACTTGACTGTATTTTGACTTTCTGTCATTTTCGCAATGACCAAATAGAAAAATGTTGGACAAGTCCTTTTTAGATGCGAAGATCACATGATCGTGACCTTTATCCCAGAGCTTCATCACTAGTTTTTCGGCATCGATGCTCGTAAATTTCAACAATGCAATAAATGTTAAAAACCTGCATCACCTCGGGCTTCCCTCTCATTGTAAGCTAGCTGACACATCGTGTTATGGTTGAAATACCTTTCCAAACGTCATTAGAAATAACACGTTCATGCTTATATTGAACTGTCAAATGATAGTTCCCCATACCATCCGCAGAGCTTGTTTGTTTGTTGTAGAGAATATAACGTGGCGGTAGGGTAGTCAGTGGTTAAAGCGTTTGCTTGTAATGCCAAAGATTCGGGTTCGGTTCCTTACAAGGACGTGATATTGCTGGAATATTGCCCTTCGGCTCGCTCATTCATTCTGCGTATACATACATTCTGTAGCAAGGCGAAGCTACAATCCATCTAGCTCACCTTGATTTGCAGCCATCAAACATGCCTGTATCTATGAGGTAAGGACAAACAGCTGTTGTGTGAACACCCGTTTTCCCTGAAGTCTCTAGTTCGTATCTAAGAGACTCTTCGAACCCGACAGCCGCAAATTTACTGGCGCAATAATCCGCCAAACCCGAAACACCAAGTAGTCCCGCAGAGCTTGCGATGTTTACGATGTGGCCGTGGTTCCTGTCCAGCATGGAAGGTAGGAACGCTTTCACCGTCTGAAAAAGTAGTTCCGACATAACATGATTGTTTACAGTTTAATACCACATTCATCAATATTTCCTAGTATGCAATGGCGACCTGCATCTCCGCCAGAAGACCAGTCACGTCATGCCGTCGAGTTATGACGACATACAATGAACCAAGTCAGCGAGGAGCTGAACACACGTAGCTGCGATATCGAAGCTTTGTTCTGCTCCACTTTACAATCAATTCCACTGCCTGCTAAGACACACGTAAAGTTGGGTGGGACATGTAAAGGCTGTGCTGTATACCCACACCATATCGCAACTTCGCCATTACTCCATATCCCAAACTCCAACTTACGTCTCGAATGATTTGGCAAGCCTTGATAGGCTCAGAATTAAGGTCTGTACAAATCGGCGAGTGAGAGATCAATGATAGTGAAATGTTTCGGAATGGATATAACTTGTAGGTATCTCCACGTCAGTGGGGGACAGCATGAGCAATGATACTTCTCTCATTGAGCTTAATAAGAATATATATGTATACACGTCAAGCGGACATACAATTGTTTCTGGCACATTCTGACCTACAAATTCTGGATTTGCATAATGCCATAAATTCGCGATCCATAGTTTCTGGATACATAAGTTTTACAAGCTATCGATTTCAATTACTAGGTGTTACGGGCATGTCATATTAAACGGGACTACAAAATTGTATTAGTCTCGAGCTTGACATGTAATCTTGGTTTAACATGAGTCAAAATGAACAAAAATCTACTGAAATACTGCAAACTTCCAAGTATATAATACACGTTTATATGTTCTATAAATGTTGCAATCACTGGTGACGGATGAACACTGAATTAGACACGAACTGAGCGTAACACTTTGGTCGTTTATGGAGCAGTTCAATAGGTCAATGAGGATTAAAAACAATAATTCCCAAAATGTTGAGAAATACACACACCTAAAAAGCTTATTTGTAAAACGTCGACGTCCTCAAGGAGATTCCATCGTCAAGCAATGATCAGTTAAGGTGTCGCTGCCGCAGAGCTCTGTAGTCGACTGACTTATCAGTTTGACTGGTTTATTGTATTCTAACAGATTTATTTCCTTCGACGGAGACGCGGTCTTCCAGAATAAAACATGACGATTTTTTGTTACTAGGACTGTAAAGCTACTGAAAAGTGTTTTTGTACGATTGAATATTCCCACACCTATTATCCCTCCACTTCTAAACGTAAGGAATTCAGGTTTTATCTGACATGGAACTCTTAAACGTTTGCCTTACGCCCTCGCTTGGCGTCCAGTGTAACCGGAACTGACCCAGAAATGCGCCTGAACGTTGACCTGCATTGTCTTCTGAACCATCTCATCTGGACACTGCATGAACTTCCGCCCAGTCACTATCCCTGCGTTGTTCACCAGGATGTCAATATCGCCCATCTCACGCTTCACCTACAGACAGGAACATAACAATTACAGTTTGTAAACTCCCTTTCAAGTACACAAGTCACGATGACGCAGTTCAAATCCACTTTCCCCGAGAAATATTAGTACGCGTAAGTTTAATCTTGGAGTATGCCGGAAACGGTAAAAATGTTTTTACCACTTCGCTGGAACTAAAGAGCACGTTTATGGACCTGCAAAACTAAAAGCATCATCAGGCGTACCTAGGATTCAAACCCAGTATCTGGGCCCAGTTGGACAAAGTGATCGTAGCTCCCATACTTTGACATAGACTAAGGGAGTGATAGCGCTAAAATTGCTTTGTACAACTGGGCCCTGGCACGCCCACGGACGTAATTCGACTCGCCAGTTAGCGTTCAGTGTCAACGACCCGCCAACCCGTGTGCCTATTCAGGATTGATAACTAAATATCGGTAATTGGTTCATCTTGTCAAGTGACAAGTTTATCTTAGTGACCAAACAGATTGCTATCTCACTAACGGCCCAGTCTCGAGTGAATATACACTTTATCAAGACCCCCATCTCTGATTTCCTTTGTTATTTGGCAAAAATTACAATCTTCAACGTGTATTATCTTACTATTCCTCATAGACGAGGCCTGGAAGTAGTTCAGTGTCATTCGTTGCGGGAAAATATTTGTTCATATTTATCTATGACCACTGAAGGTATAGAAAAGAGTATAACCAACCTTCTCGGCTGTCTGGTATATCTGTTTTGCATCCGACAGATCTACGGTGTATGTTTTCACAGTGATTCCAAATCGCTGAACTTGTGCAGCTGTCTCCTCGTTACCTTCCTTGTTGACGTCCCACAGCACCAGACGACAACTACGGTCGGCAAAACGCTTGGCAAGCAGACGACCAATTCCACTACCTGTGGAGAGACGTTGAGAACAGGATGAGGATTGCTAATAATTTAATGACGTATAAACTAAATGTTGTTTATCTAAGCCAACATTAAACCACCAAACACAACAAGAACTGCACAGGCGTCAAATGTATGAGTGTGGTTATACATGACCACCTTTAGGACTAATCCAGTAATATCGGCGGGGCACACCGGAAATGGGCCACCTATGATTGGAATCGAACTCGGTCTCGATCGTTGTGACGAGCTAACGCTGTAACTACAAGGCTACCCAACCAGCCCCTGCCTTTCTCAACCAGTCCATCATCAAGGATACAACCGTATGTGCAGAAAACCTGTTTCTTCACATCCTTAGAAAGTCATCCTTGAGAGATCTGGCTGCGGTCACATTGTTTCTGCGGACGAGAGTAGGGAAATACAGCACATCTCGGACTTGTCACCCTTGGACGATATGCTCGTGGGATTTCTTTAGGAATGCACTATTGTATTACGAAAATATATTGTACCGATTGGCCACGGTGGTTTTGGTCAAACCAGTGGCGAAAATTGGAACCTAGTTCCCAAGTCAGCACTTAACAGTCCTTCCAACCTATCATACCCACGGATGGAATACCCGATGTTTTCTTACGTCCCTACAAGTAATAGCCTGACCACAACAAATTAGAGATTTGCCCGCGAGATTTGATACGATATTAAATAAACTGTGATTTCCTGTCAGTGTGATATTTTCTAACTATGGAGAAGCTTCGTGCCCAAAATGTCTGACAAAGAAAGAAATGGGGACGCAGTAATCTCCCACCCAGAGCGCTGAAGATGAGATGGAAACCTAAACATGTGCAGTACCAAAGGTTTATAGGTGTTACATTAAGATGAAACATATCTACATTGTTCAGTGTTACACATCAAGAATGTCATTTCATCAACAAAAGAAATCAATTCATCCTTCGCATCCTGATTAGAAATCCGAAGAAGAAAACCTAATTCGTTGTGGCCTCAACCCATTCGCATGCTGACAGCTACGTATTTGTTCGTATGATCAATAACATGGCGTCATCGTTCCGCTGATCTGGTCAGAGCTGTCAACAGGGATGCAAGCATACGTTCAGTTCTAATTGTGACATTACTTTTACGGTAATACGGTTTACGTGATACGGTAACATTAACTCCCAATTTACAGTATTTTCAAGAGCAGCTGTACAAAACTACACTTATACACAATACATTTATGCGACACATGTTCCGTAACTCAATTCTTGAGCCGGGGGATGTCAACCGACATGTTTAGTAATGAAATGATATTCGTCGGAATATTCAATATAACCGCAGGACAGCAGACATATAAGTAAGTGAATCTATTCAATAATACAGCAGACGACCAGTCCAAACAACATTTCACACGTACTATTTGCCAAAACTGCAAAGAGCGCAGAAAGGAATCTTTTTGTCTGCAATATTTTTGTCACCCTCCTCTCGTGATAATAATAATATTACCTATACGGTTACAAAAAGTGAAGACCAAGAGCACCGACCAGACCATTTAAAATTTGCATTTTCCAGACGCATTGCTCGAATCATTCGAAGCGTATTCTGACGTAAAGTCGGAATGACGTCAAACTAGAAAATCATTGTTGAAGGTATTTGACGCCATTCGATAAATAGAGCATACTTTAAATTTAGAGCTATTATAATTTTGTTACCTTCCAACACAGTATGTTTATCTCCATTCTTCCATAACCGCGTTATTGAGATTTAAAAAAGGATTCATACTTTGTTGGAAAATCAGAGGTATATAACGTGATTATATACCTCTGAATGACTTTAACTGACCAATCACAATCCAGTATTAACTGTAGTCATGGTAGAATAAACGATGCCCCGTGTAATACCATATTTCTGAAATGAGTTTATTTATTACTCACCCAACATTTGCAAAATAATATCGAGCAAAGTACTTATTTCCTAAGAATTCAACGAGTGTGAAGACTATCAGCTTTCCGTGAGTCAAGTAAGGTCTAATACTATTTTGATAGAGGTATTAGCATTGTGACGTCATAACTGTATTTTTTTTCAGGCGGCGATCGTCCATTGTATTTTTCTAAAGTGGAGTTCAAAACATTTCAGATATAATGGGTAATAAAGAAATCGTTACACTCACAGTTGTGTCAAAATGATTATGCGTGCAGGCATAAGCACTGACAGACCAAGAATAAACAAGGGCAAATCTGAGATTCGAACCAACGACAAACAGATTCTGGGGCAGCCAAGGAAGGCAACAGCGAATTGCGGTACCTTAAACAGCTGAGCCCTTTAATAATGTATGACATCATCCTAGATGTATCACATTTACACAGCCCACCTGCTCCGGTTATAAGGACGGTTTCCCCTGAAATGTTTTTCCCCCGAACACTGGCAGGTAGGGCTGCCAGTACCATCGCCTCCAGCCAAAAGTACAGCAACTTCCCCATCAGCAGTATCACCTCCAACACCATTTCAAATATGGCCGTCACGCCCACCATCTTGTTTTACTTCCTGGGTCGTTCGTATAACAATGCCTCACGCTGTAAATATCAAATCTCCCAATCCCTTCCTAGTAGAGTGAGCCAGTTGTATAGCTGATATGTTCAGGGCCGCTGTGCTAGCAGTCGTGGCTGTCGTTGATGAAGTATTATTTGGAGATGGAGAATTGTATCAGTGTACCTGTAACACATGAAGCAGCTTGGTACAGGATTTAACCTAGTTACCGATGTACAAACATAATGACGTGAGAGTATTGTCATGTAACAATAAAATAATGGTTACCTCCCTTGGGTACGATTACATCCGTGTCGCTGTCAACAAGGGCAGCAGACAATATCGTCTGTGTTGCAGTACACTATGCTAATGGACGTTGTCATTAATAGATTTATACGAAAGACGTATCCAGTAGTGGCACGTCTTTTGGTACAAACCCCCCAAATCATATTCAACAAATGACAATGATTAGTTAAAAACATAGCGTCGGACATCCGACCAGGGTTCACCTGTATACACAAGCTGGACTTCGACCCGTGTTGCGATTACCTGTTTACGTTGATATCGAAACGCAGATAACAAAATATATAAATACCGTAGTAAATTAAAATGCTTAATCCATGGAGCCCCGGTCGAGTGTATGGAATGCAGGTGTGTTGTGGTGACTGGGTACACATTTCCTTACGTTTAACAGGTGTCATTTTAGGGTTATTTATCTCATTCATTTTGTTGGACTGTGATTTTAGTTTCGGGCGGAATATTTTAAAGACCCATCATGACCATATATTTTCTCGGTTTTTCTCAGAATGTACAGCATATGCGGAGAAGGCCACACAGCCACACCCACCCTGTCGACTCTAAACAACTGGAGTCACTGTAGTCAGTTTGCTTCTAGGCATCAGTGAAGAATCTCTGAGGAGACTTCAAAAAGTCCAAAATGTAGCGGCAAGAATCGTTACACGTGCCCCAAAGTACTCTCACATTACGCCGATACTGAAGTCATTACACTGGCTTCCGGTTGAGGCGAGGATAGTGTTTAAAGTACTCTGTATCACATTCACGAGTCTAAAAGGCATGTCACCAGAATATCTAAGTGAACTGCTAACCCCCTACAAACCATCCAGACAACTGCGATCTGAAAGCAGATTCTTTTTGAAAACTCCTTCTTATAGACTGGCCTCTTATGGAAAGCGTTCTTTCAGTGTTTGTGCTCCATCGCTGTGGAAATGAACTGCCCCTCGCCTTAAACTGTCCCCATATTTTGCTGCGTTCAAATCACATCTTAAAACGCATCTCTTTTCATTGCACTATTAACTCTATTCAAACATTATTCTTATTTTGTAGCGCTTTGAGCACCCACTTAGTGGTTGGATTTAGCGCTATATAAATTTCCAGTATTTTAGTCAAACAGGTGCGGTGACACATAGGAGTGACACAAACATGGCTTCCTTATCAGAATGAGTACCTGTCAAACACGCTACATGTATGTAACATGTACGTGTTGGTTCGGGAAAGATTGTGAAATATTCTGAACTAGTTTACTGACAAGGTACTCCACCAGTGTGTCTTGTGCAGTGAAAGGGGGTCAAGTTTCCAAAGACAATTTCAACATTTCGGATGCAGAAGTTAATAAATGTTGATAATACGTTAATGGTGATATGCATGAGGTAGGATTATGACGTATTTTATATTTCTAATTCTCTTTAAAGGTATATTATCCAGTTCCCCTTGAACTGAAATGCTGTGTGATAGTTAAATATATATATTTGTAAACAGGCACAGCTATGGAACAGTTGGTTGTGGATAATAAACTGAAGTCGCATGATTGTGACGTCACTGGGTGTTGCACACAAATATCTCGTTAACTATCCAGAGCGTATCGGGGACGTATCCAAAGCCTATCTAGAGCGTATCCAAAATATCATGAGCTGCAAAGTACACATTACGCAGGTTATTCGTTGTATATGCGCTGCGGCGCCTGTTCTGTTTGTAGAGACGGTTTCTTCTCACGGCTGACCGGTTAATCTATTTTTAGCTGGTAACTGAGCAAGGTCGTCCTTCATATTACACTGGATATATTTCATACAAAGTAGTAATAGATCCATGTAGCAAATATCTAAGAATATGCATATCTATGTTACAGTGGGAGTTTTAGTTTGTGTCCTCTTTACCACCACATGACACACACACAAGTGCTCACGTTAATGATGTTTAAGCTTTATATCAGATCTTAATTTGCTGTAATATGATTGCAAAAACACGAAAATAATATAAATAACAGCAGCGAAATAATGGTTTAAACACGTGACATGAATCATCCTATATTAAATAAACATAATTTAAACCATCTCTCAAAAGCATTTTATGAAATATCTAATATACTGCTAAATAAGAGCATGTGCAGTCATATTCCATTTTGGAATCGTACAAAACCATATGCAGATATGGAAATAAGTACAGAAACACTTTAGCTTGCATTCCCTTATTCGTTTCGGGTGGTGGTGAAGCCAAGTGGTTAAAGCCTTCCCTGGTCACGCCGAAGACCGGGTTCGATTCTCCACATGGGTGCAATGTGTGAAGCCCATTTCTGGTGTCCCCCGCCGTGATATTGCTGGAATATTGCAAAAAGCGGCGTAAAACTAAACTCACTCACCCCTATTCGTTTCCAACAGGAAAATAGGTAAACGCTGCAGAAGGAATCGCTCGGAATACAGGGATCCGTACGAACGGAGTTGTATTTTAAACAGAGTTACATTATTTACCGTATTTATCTTGATAATTATATTATTTCAAGACCCGCATGGTGTATAGTTCCAGCAAACAAGCTGTTCTTACTGATACATTGCGCGAGTCAAATTGAAAAAGGGTAGTTACCGTGTGTTGAGCCAGACAAACACGTCGTGGTGTGACAGGGTAAGATGGAGGTGTTGTCCTGTTATCACATACCCTGGTTAATCAGCGTTATAAATCTATACTCATGTGATACATATTTACTGACAACCATGTGGACACACGTGACTGACATACATACTGCTCACTGAAATGAAAAATGTAGCAACGTGACATTTTTTATTTTAAAAATATTATTGTCAGGGAAATGCACAGACCTGTTTGCCTCGACAGGGAAAAGCTGTACATTTATTTTACGTTACACTTTTGACAATGTCGCAAAACATGAATACCAGCTTTTCATCCACTGACCAAATCACGCCAAACAGCAAGTTGACCAAGACATACAAGTCTATCGTGAGTAGAGACAATCCTGTCTGAATCATAGATGTGTTCATTTGTCACGCCTTTGTCCAAGGTTTGTCCCAGGTTCGATCTACCATGTATTACAACTTTCCTGCCAGAGACTAGTCTGATTGTGTGTAAGAACAATATTTGAGTGAGTGAGTTTAGTTTTACGCCGCACTCACCAATATTCCAGCTATATGGCGGCGGGCTGTAAATAATCGAGTCTGGACCAGACAATCCAGTGATCAACAGCATGAGCATCGCTCTGCGCATTTGGGAACCGATGACATGTGTCAACCAAGTCAGCGAGCCTGACCACCCGATCCCGTTAGTCGCCTCTTACGACAAGCATGGGTTATTGAAGATCAATATTCTAACCTTCACGGGTGATAGTGTGTTAGAACAATATTGTAGTGAGTGATTTGGGTTTAACGCCGCTTCGAAAACTATGCAAAGAGCTTAGTTAAGCACCCCTTGACATATCTCATAATTGAATGAGCCCCAATCGTAGCCCTTTGGAGCATATGTGGGACTTAACTTGTCGTCGTGTGCAACAAAGGGATCCTCCTCTACAGACCCTGGCCCAAATAAAAGCTGTTTTAAACGAGGAATGGCGTAGGCTGGCCCTTCAGAGGATCAGGAGGCTGACAGGGGGTATGAGGAGGAGGGTTCTGGCTGTCAAACAGTCACACAGAGGTTACACTCGGTATTGACCTTGAATCGTTTAAGACGCGCAAAATGACATTATAAATGTTCACAATTAAGGAAATTATTGAGAAATCTGTCTGAATAAAAGATCTGACTTTTAAAACATGATGAATAAACTGCATTATAGAAAAGACCTATACAAGCTATGTATGTTGCTATGTCTACTGAAAAGGACTCGGATATGATTAAGAATTTACCAGCAAACAAATCTGTTACAGCAGGGGTTCCTCGGGGATCTGTCCTTGGTCCATTTTTGTTCCTTGTGTACATCAATGATTTATTTGAAACTCTAACAAATGTCACAAGACTGTTTGCCGACGACACTTCAATTGGTGTTGCACGAAAAGATGTAAAAAACATAGAAGCTACTCTTAACTATGATTTAGCAAAATTGAATGAATGGGCTGACAAATGGTTAGTTAACACGAATAAGACAAAATTCATGCTTTTTAAAAATGGAAATTGTCCATAAGTTCCTGACTTTATTCTCAATAATGAACATTTTGAACGTGTACATCAACATAAACACCTCGGCGTCATCTTTTCAGATAATTCAAAATGGTCTCATCATGTATCTTCTGTAATAGAAAAGGCCACAAAAATTGTTTCCTCATTACGGACGCTAAAGTACGTATTACCTAGATATATTCTTTCTAGTATGTATGAAATGTATATTAGGCCTATTTTAGAATATACAAGGTCTGGGATAATTGCCCTAGCTTTATTTATGATAAACTTTGAAATGTTACAACTTGAAGCAGCAAAAACTGTAACCGAATTGCCTAAATTCGCTTCAAGATATAGTTTATACAGTGAAACTGGTTGGTTACCATTGAAAGTTAGACGAACACAAAGAAAACTCTGTACATTCTGCAAATTTGTTAATATGCAAGCTCCTGATTACCTGATAGATTTACTTCCACCTTTTACTGAAACCATTTCCGGATACAACTTGCGTAACAAATCAGATTTGGCTGTTCCTAAATTTCGCACCTCAATTCTCCAAAAGTCATTTATTTATGATTCTGCAAGTTTATGGAATGCTCTCTCCTCTACAACAAAATGTACAAATTCATTATCACTGTTTAAATCAAAGTTATCTGGGAAAAATGACAAAGTTCCAAAATATTTTCTATTTGGTGACGGAAAGACAAATATACTACACACGAAGTTAAGACATTCGTGTAGTTCATTACATGCAGATCTGTTTCGTGTTAATCTATCAGAGAGTAGAGCTTGCAATTGTGGTGCGCCGGTGGAAGATGCTAACCATTTCTTTTTAAAATGTCCAAAATTTGTTAGCTGCCGTTTTGATCTGAAGAAAGACTTTGAACTATCAAAAGTTCACTTAGACATTGATACCATTCTTTACGGCAACCCTGCTCTGCCAAATACTATTAATGAGAATTTCTTTAGACATGTGCATAAATACATTGTACGAAGTAAGCGATTCGATTAATGAATAATATGTCTTAATATAATTCTGTCCATTCATTACGTTCATTCAGTATTGTTCATGTTTCTGATGGGAGCAGGCGGTAAAAAAGTTACATGACTTGTGCCCAATCCATTTCGACATTGAATAAAATATGTTCAAACAAACAAGACGGGGATCGGTCAAAGATCTATGCAATGGTCCTGTACTCCCAATCTTATACAGCTTATTTCTCGGCATGTATTGCACGGACAAGAGGGGAATCGGTCAAATCTATCCAATGGTCATGTACTCTCAATCCTATACAGCTTATTTCTCGGCATGTATTGCACGGACAAGAGGGGAATCGGTCAAATCTATCCAATGGTCATGTACTCTCAATCCTATACAGCTTATTTCTCGGCATGTATTGCACGGACAAGAGGGGAATCGGTCAAATCTATCCAATGGTCATGTACTCTCAATCCTATACAGCTTATTTCTCGGCATGTATTGCACGGACAAGAGGGGAATCGGTCAAATCTATCCAATGGTCATGTACTCTCAATCCTATTCAGCTTATTTCTCGGCATGTATTGCACGGACAAGAGGGGAATCGGTCAAATCTATCCAATGGTCATGTACTCTCAATCTTATTCAGCTTATTTCTCGGCATGTATTGCACGGACAAGAGGGGAATCGGTCAAAGATCTATCCAGTGGTCATGTACTCTCAATCCTATACAGCTTATTTATCGGCATGTATTGCACGGACAAGAGGGGAATCGGTCAAATCTATCCAATGGTCATATTCTCTCAATCTTATACAGCTTATTTCTCGGCATGTTTTCCTATACAGCTCGGATGTATTGTTTCGGAAAGAGAGGGAATCGGTCAAATCTATCCAATGGTCATGTACTCTCAATCTTATACAGCTTATTTCTATGTCAACAAGATCGGTCAAAGATCTATCCAATGGTCAAGTACTCTCAATCCTATACAGCTACTCGGCATCAATCCTATACAGCTTATTTACAGCTCTCGGCATGTATTGCACGGACAAGAGGGGAATCGGTCAAAGATCTATCCAATGGTCCTGTACTCTCCAATCTTATACAGCTTATTTCTCGGCATGTATTGCACGGAAGAGACGGGGATCGGTCAAAGATCTATCCAATGGTCCTGTACTCCCAATCTTATACAGCTTATTTCTCGGCATGTATTGCACGGAAGAGACGGGGATCGGTCAAAGATCTATCCAATGGTCCTGTACTCCCAATCTTATACAGCTTATTTCTCGGCCTGTATTGCACGGAAGAGACGGGGATCGGTCAAAGATCTATCCAATGGTCCTGTACTCCCAATCTTATACAGCTTATTTCTCGGCCTGTATTGCACGGAAGAGACGGGGATCGGTCAAAGATCGGTCCTGTACTCCCAATCTTATACAGCTTATTTCTAGGCCTGTATTGCACGGAAGAGACGGGGATCGGTCAAAGATCTATCCAATGGTCCTGTACTCCCAATCTTATTTCTTGGCATGTATTGCACTGACAAGGCCAGGTTCAAAGATCTGTAGAAGCGCCCCATATACTATGTCGTATGATCACGTCACAATCGGGATTAGCTGGTTATCATGTGATCATCTGTTCAGGTCGATGTTTATCTTTGCTCGTGAAACTTCAGTGTATAAGATCCACACAAACCTAATATGGTAGTATTCATTGCTAAATATACTTTCTATCACTCATCAACTGATAAATTAGGTCCGAAACCGTGTTTTTCCCACAACGCATCATCAGGACTCCTAACTGGCCAGTATACGAGACATATTTTCACAAATGAATAAATCTCAAGTTATGTTTGTCCTGGCATAGGTGTATTCCGAGTGCGATACCTCCAGAAACGAAAACGAAAACATCGAAGTAAAGGGAGATAACTGCGAGCGAACGAAATATTTGTGGTCATTTGTATGATTTAGAGCTTGTTGGCATTTTATAGAATACAATATATTAAAATATGCCTGATTCAATCTTGTGATAGTAGTTTTGACTTGTTATTTATTAATCATAAATGCCTTTTCACAATCATTTAGTACTATAGATGTTTGAAATGGCGTCAGTAAGTGTTCTTGGATCATATATCGTACCTTTTATTGCTTCAATGTGGATGAAACAATCGATCAATGGTACATTATATCCACATTTCACGGATTGAATTTAAATAATCTCATACTGCAAACCTCCCTTGGATTCTGAGTTTAATAGTCTCCATCAAACATGCTTAACCCAGGAGGTGACGAAAGGGATTGGGTGGCCAGCATATACTCCTTGGATACTTGCCCTGGTAACTAGTAATAGGACTTGGCTCGACCATGCCGCCACATAATACTGGAACACTTTTACATGAAGCATCTAACATACACGTCACACGTGCGAGCTTGTCACAAGCAGAAATCCACGAGGGACATGTTCACAGTGAGAAAAGTTCAATACAAGCAGAAATATTCCACAAGGCGGGGACATGTTCACAGTGAGAAAAAGTTCATGAATACGTTTCAGTTAGTACATTAATATAAACGTAGACATCGCCATCATTAAGAATTTGAAAACTAATGTGAAACACTCTTCTCCCATATGATCCGAAAGCATCAAGCCACTGGCAGCAAGGACGATCAGTCTCGTTTTTGTATGTCGTTTGTTTGCCTTAAGATTATTACAAATTTATCATATACAGGTTAATTTTTTGTTTACTTTCTTGGGTCTGTATGAAATATATGCCATTTAATGCGAGAAGGGGAAAGAGCAGATAACTACTTGTCATTTCCTACATCAGTTTGTCTTCCGACCTGGAACACAGCTTTGAACAGTGATCTCACGCTTTACGTCAGCTTTCAAGTCAGATGCGATGTAGCCATGAGACGATTCAGTGGAAAGAATATTCCCAAGAACCAACACCGGAAGAAACTAGGATAGAGATCTCAAGTTGGTTGAATCCTCCTAACCTGCTAAATATACTAGAATATATACCAACATATTTTCATAAATATATGCAATACATGCTTGAATAAATTAGGTGCACTTCCATATACTTTATGCATGCATGGAATTAAACATGTCTGTTTTATGTAATGTGTGTAGTATAAACTGCATTCGCAAACTCATTTTCAACTGTTTCCATTATTGAAAACATGAATCTGTCGGTGTGTGAATATTTGTCAGTGATTTCCATTCAGAAAACTTCAGATAGCAGTTATATCACAGAGGTATTCCGTTATATTCAATCAGAAGTTATTTCTACTACGTTGTCATATAATAATGTATAGCACACTGAACATTGTTCATTTGTTAACCTGTTACTGAACATTGATTATTTCAATACAAGAGGTACAATTGTATATTCATTACCAATTGTGAATGCTCATGTCCACTGAAGACAAATCCTGCTTGTACACCAGGGAAGACTTCACATCCTGTTGTTACACTGTTGCATTACAGATCAGGTCAATTTTCCATTCAACCGAGCATGAATCACTTGCAGTTTAAAGTCAATGAATCAGTGTATACCATGTAATGACAAACACACTTCCTACTTATCTATTCCAAATGGCTGTACACTTGTCTCCTTCATGAAAGTCACAGTAAGTTTTGTGTACTCCTTAATGAACTGATTAATGTTCATTTTAATGAAATAATAACTTCCTAATCCAGACAAGTATTATTTGAAATTTTCAAACTGAAATTTTAGGGCCATATGTTAAAATATAAACAATGTGTGTTGTGAATTTATCGAGGATCTCTGAAAGCCAGAAGACACAATGCATAAAAAATATATAATAACAATGAACAAAGTCCAGTTTTAAATGATGGGAAAACTATTACAATACACAAATTCAATCTGAGTTGAATAAGGTAACATTCTTTCAGCAAACTTAACATTTTATTTGTCCTAGCTTGAAATAATTGATAATCTCATATGCACACTTTATCTTGTCAACATTTTATTCCATTACATATCTTTTTGACAACTATGATAAACATTCAAACATTGTATAGTTGTAATATGGAAACCTTTGAGCCTGGATACGAATGAAGGAAAAATCATAACTTGATGAGGACCGTCAGCACTACTACTAGATCAGCAAAATCAAATAAAATCCTACTCCTTCAGATTAGGTGAATTTGAAAACAATGATACGATTGAATGATTATTTCCTCTCATTTAGAAAATTGTTTCCTCAGATTCATGATCACTTCCAGTAACAAAAGAGAAATGACATCTCGAATCAGAGCAAGCATTACCTGTTGTGCTCCAGATTAGCATCACCTATTTGTCCATCTGTTGAAATTTGGGGAAGCCAAGTGTATTCAATTACACCAAATCTCAGGTTCCAAGATGCAAAAAGTTATTGTATACACAAAGTTCACAACATTGTCCTGGCAGAGATATTGAATGGATGCTTTGTGAAATATTTCACGTCCATGTAATTATGAAAATGCATAGTTTTCATTTCTCAAACGCACTTTCATATTCAAAATCACATGGAATGCTCCTTAATCTGCGTATTCGCTTCAAACTTCTCTTGTGTAAATATATCAAAACCCATCCAGACGTTTACAAAAATTTAAAAAGCAAGATAATATAATTTCCTGTAGGCAAAATGTTATAGGACACAAGAATACATAAAATACTCATATTCACTGTAATAATATGTATACAACAGTCTCTAGTGTATCGTGAGCAATAAATTTGGCTTGAAACATCAATCTCATTCAGACAATATTTCATTTCATCTTTCTCGAAAGTATACTTGCAATTTCAGTGCCTGACAAAACGATGAGCAACCTAAACAGAGCACTAAATGAGAGGAAATAATCTGTGTAAAGAATCAACGAAGCTCTACATACACATGCTTAGTATACACTTTATTGGGATAACTGAAACAAAATGCTACCAATCCCACGGGCACAAGCTGCAAGTCCTGTAGCAACAACAATGGCGCTCGCTTGCTCCATGATTGAAGAGACACGATGCCATATTGGCCACAAAATCATCTGCTCCAAACTTGTTTTGCTGCAATCAGTACACGAATGTTTTAAAAACAACTTAGTTTTTCACTGAAGTTCTGAGTTTGTATCACTGGAAAAGTGTTTTTATCACGATTTGAAGTCTTTCATGAGTTTTCAAGTTTTTCACATTTAAAAGAATTATCACGGCACAATCTTGTCCACTTGTGTAGCCTAATGTAAAACCATGAGGCTTTGAGTCTTGACCCAGAGTGGCAGCTGAGTGTTAAAACCTTCGATCAGGTAGAGAGCATCTGAAGACAAGTCTTAGACAGGTTGCCTCCCTTTACCAAGGAAGATTACCCATCTAGGCATCAGTACAACAAGCTACATTGGTCTGTTGACGTCAGTTTCCATCATGGATTATTTGTGGTACACATCCACAATAAAATTGATTCGTAAAGTATTAGGTGAATTTTATGTCTTCTAAGACGATGTCTTACTAGGTTGTCTAAATCCTTGAAAAATGTCCATTCCATAACCAGAAATAGATAAATTGTGTCACAATGGCAAAATCATCAGTTCTCGTTGCTTGGCATTAAAATCCTCATTGGGAGTTACTTTTACATCCTGAAAAAGAAAGAAAATATTTGCAACCACAGCATTTAAAAAGAATCTTGTTGTGTTGATGAAGTCATGAAAGACTAAGAACAATTGACCCAATGTGATAAACTTTATCTTTCAACAAAAAGCTACAAATGCAACTGACAGTACTTGAAACAATTCAATATAAAATTGAATGGTTAAAATTAACATTTCAAAATTACGGTTTATACAAGCATGCATTGACATGTTAAACATTATAGAAATAGTTACAAACAAAACAAACCTTTACATAGTTTGCCAAGAACAACACAGCACGCCGCCATTTACTGTAAAGAGAAAGACAAGTATAAGTGTCAAGCAGCTCATGTAATGTACAACAGGGCCAATGTATCATCTGTCAAGACACACATGGGAACAAAGTCCCCAAACAACCATAGATCTAACATATTATTCAACAAAACACTGAAAGCAATTAAGTTCTGCAAAAATATTACAAAACTTAAGACTTGTTTGTCTTGTCTTAAAAACTGTCCACAAACATAACACAGGCCCAAATAATAACAAGGATTTACAGGACGCGAATTCCCGTGTCCTATACACATAAAAATTGACAATGGACGCAATGAAATTTATCAGCGCGTCACGCAGAAAAAGTCCAACTACTTTTTCAGGGTTTTACACAGACTTTAAAACTGGGAGTCATGGTGACTCACAATAATTATTTTGGGAGTCATTTTCAATATTTGGGAGTCATGAAAATTTTAATATTTCCTTGTGTTAATCATTCTCACTATATAACTGTCTGTGTCACACCACAAAATGAAACTACATTGTTCAATTCAAACAGCCAGGATTACTGTCTCCTCCGAGTTCTCTGGAATTATCTGACAGCTCTGTAAAAGTCAAACTATCATCGAACAATATCATTTTTTGCTTATCAAATCGATTTCATTGAACTGAATTGTGAGGGCCACCCATAAAACTTGCGTCAAGCTTGACTCGTATAATATTTTGAGTCGTTTACCAAATTGTTGAGTCAAATACACAGGAATCATGCAGCATGTAAAACCCTGCTTTTTGTAAAAATTACGATCAAGTAGCAAAAAGTTATCACAGAGTCTGCTACAAGCCGGATATGGTATCATTGCAATTTAATTACTGTAACAATGTGATGATAATGATACACAATACCATAACAGTTACTGAATTGCAACCATATTACAACAAAGTATTTATAATAATATTTGAGAGTGTGGGGACCCAATTTTGCAGTCTGGGACCCTGAAAATTAAGAGTACGAGTACCAGGTACCCCCAAATACAGGACACAAAGTAAATCCCTGTAAAGATATGGTTTACCTCAAGAACTTAGGCAACTTATACATCACTTTTAGTTCATTGCCATTGGATACCAAATCCTAAAAAGGCATCAATTCACCACTCAACTATCAGTATGTCAACCTTCAACTTGATATATTCAATGTTTTGTTCCATAAACCAGCACATCTCTCATTTTCACTAAAGTTCAGCTTGTTACCATCAACACAAATACATATTATATAAATACACAATAACAATTACAAATCTCTAAAAAGCACCAGTTCACCTCCCCACGGATCAATACAGCTTGTTTGATGTAGGTAAATTTGATTTAGAAATAAATTGCATTCTTCTCCAGAAACAGATGCAATCTGAATTTTCAGTAAAGTAAAATCAAGAGAGAGAAAGAAAGAAAGAGAGAGAGAGAGATAGTTCAGAATAGCAAGTGGCAACAAGACAAGTTCCACTGTTCAGTATAGAGTCCTGCTCTACACATGGACAGTAAAGTTACACACTGATCAAGATATCAGTCCCCACCACCCACCCTTTTTGGAAACCAGAAGAAGGATGGGTCACGAGTCTGGTTGATAAAACAATAATGAGGATGTGTTCATATTGCAAGTTCCTTTTTGATAGAAATCTATTATTACTATAAAAAAACATTTCCTGGTAGCTACTATAAACAGTTCTATCTTTGTGTTTTAATCCTGTTCCAGCAAATTAAAGAAATAAAACAAAATCAAATTTCAGATTTTCCTTTCCCCATTCAATGTGTCAAGTCCAATTTAAACCCTCATTAAAAATACAGGAGCATGTCAAGTTGATGTGCATGTTTGTCAAAATTGTGCACAGATATCAGTTCCCTGATTAAAGTCAAAGTACCAGTACCAACAGATTGTGTATTGGGGTGCTTCCCTCTGAAATACCTGGATACAGCATGTGTTTATGTTGTGAAGGGTTTTAACAAATAGGGTGTTTATTGCTTTGTCACGCGTCCAGAGGCAATAAGAAAACAATAGCAAAATCAGAGTTTATAACATTTTATCTATTTGACAGAAAACATTTCAAGGATCAATGGGACTAAATAAGTGTTTACAAGGGGTCAAAAGCCATGTCACTATCAACTATTAAATAGACACAATAGTGGCAAACATCAATGAACACTTGATTCAAGGATAGATCACACATAAATAAATACAAATGGACAATAAGAATTTACTTGTTTTCCTGAGTACACAACAGTAAAACAGTAAAAACAAGAAGACAAAGTCATCAATATCCCCCGCAATGGCAAAATACGCTTCATGATTATGTCTACGAGTTATGATTATGTCAAATATTTAGGTGTGTATATAGAAAGGTGGAAGGAGAGTATTGAACGGTTTTTAAAGTTCTGCTCCAGAAAGCAGCACAACCACCAATTTCAGACTAAGTCAAACTTGTTGCCATGAAAACCCCAAAAATGTTTTATTCAGAATTCCAAAACTACCAAAAGGCACCAATACACCACCAGATCTATCTATGTGCCAAGTTTGGTGAAGACATATTGAACGGTTTTAGAATTCTGCTCTGGAAAAGAGCACTACCACTAATTTCAGTCAAAGTCGAACTTGTTGCCATGGAAACGCCAAAAATATTTAATTCAGAATTCCAAAACTACCAAAAGGCACCAGTACACCACCAGATCCATGTATGTGCCAAGTTTGGTGAAGAAATACTGAACGGTTTTAGAGGTCTGCTCCAGAAAAGACATGTGCACGGACGGACGGACGCACGGAGTCCATTTTAATACCCCCGCAAAACCTGTTGCGGGGGATAACAAGCATTGTCACTAAGGTGACATAATCCCCCTCCGCAAATTATCAAATCAAACTTATAAAGTAATGAAAGTTTAAGATGAAGTTAAATGTCAACAAAAACATTATCTTGCTCTTTAGTTGTTCAAACACACACATATTTTCAAGACTGACTTTGACCTTGACATGAATGTCATAGTGTATGAAATATGCAAAACTAGTACTAAAGAAATTGCTTATTGAAAAACATTCAAGGGAGGTCTTGAAAGTCTATGAAGAAAATCCAGTGAACCGTTCTTAAACTATCTTGCTGACAATTCAGGTTAACATTCTGAAATCTTAATAGTGTCCTGACCCTAAAAATTATGTGAAGGTCACCAAAATTGACTGGGCCCTGGGCCTTCCCTAGATGAAACTTGGTGTCTAATATGAAGAAAATCCACTGAATATTTTTTCCAATATCTTGCTGACTATCTTAACAAGCAATTTAACATGCTGAAATCTTCAAAGTGTCTCAGTGACCTTGAAAATTAAGTGAAGGTCACCAAAATCGACTGGGCCCTGCACCTTCCCTGGATGAAGCTTGGTGTCAAATATGAAGAAACTCCAGTGAATGGTTCTTGAGGTATCTCGCTGACAAGCATAACATGTAGGTTAATATGCTGAAATCTTCAAAGTGTCGCTATGACCTTGAAAATTATGTGAAGGTCACCAAAATCGACTGGGCCCTGCACCTTCCCTAAATAAAGCTTGGTATTCAATATGAAGAAAATCCAGTGAACGGTTCTTGAGATAGCTTAACATGCAGGTAAAACGTTAAAGTCCCCTTGTGACCTTGAAATGAAGGTCAAGGTTACCAAACCTGACTTGGACCTTTCTTATAGTGTGATGAACCTAGGTACCAAATATGAAAAAAATCTAGAGAACAGTTCTTAAGATATTCCACTTCATGACGGACGGAGCCTAATACTGTATCCCCCACTTCGTGCTAAACGCGCGGCGGGGGGATAACTATCAAGTTTAACAAAGAATTCACTTCACTCAGCACCAAAACCCACTTTCTTATGGACTATTGTTAAGATTTTATAGATACCTAGCATAGTTATCTCAAATATGACTCTCCAGACCCAGCATGACTCATAATCTAGGCAGCCATTCATGAAGTTCACATACATATTGATCATGTAATACAAACACTATGCTATAGGGAGTGTCATACCGAGCACCTGCTGCCTGCTTTGCTGAGTCAGTTACACAAGACCAGTGTCAAGGTGTACATCCCCTGGAGACTATTTGTGGTAACACTGCTCATCCAGCTGTTCCCACTCATGTTGTTTCATGTGCATCAGTGTATACAAGGCACCAAAGATGAATACCATATTACCCAAGGCTGGTAAATCCATAAACAGTAAATACTACTGTATTTGCCATATTAAGGTCTACTTCAAGAAGCACACCCATACAACAGCCTCAAGACCGACTGTGTACATAAGAAAGCCTTAGCTTACTGATGCTTAAATTGTTTCACTACCCATTCAGTCCCACCAAATATATTAGGTCATGTCATTTTCCCCCCTTCCTAATTCCTAGGTTGTATTTCTGTTGCAAGGTTTCATAAGCCAACCCCAAAACATGTAAGACCAAATAAACAAAATGCAATATGCCAAAACCTCCATTTGTGAGCTAAAGTAAATGTGGACTCTGGCTGGTTCATATTCACATACTCTGAGAATTATATGGAGTCTTTAGCAATTGGTCAATTTCTGTCTTGTGAGAAGAATGGATGAGAGTTGTGATGGTGACCCTAAGATTTTTCCATTATGCCAGTTGCTACCTGCTCACAATACTTCTTTACGTAAGTTAAGATGTGCGCTGACAGCATTTTGGAGTGTGGTTCTAGTGGATAGTGTGGACAATGTACAAACTTAAGGTCATATTTTGTAAATAAACCAAGCCCTTTGCCGTTTTTCTTTCGCACAAAAAAAAACAATTAACAGGGCATATCAACAGGATTTTTAAATTCCTGTAGACTCCAGGTGGTCAATTCCTGAATGGTACTCATGATATAACGTCTATCCATATTGCCCTAACAATGGTGTATGTATGTGCGGTTGCTGTCAAAACGTTTGTCATGTCAAAGTAACCTGACTCCTATAAGAAGATGCTTTGAAACACTATGTAAGTGAAACAGAGACCAGTGAAAGCACCTGTTTACCTCCTTTTGATTATATCGTAACATCTATTGATTTTTTGTCTTGGTATGGAAGCAGGTTAACTCTCAAACTAAGTGGAATCTTGGCAGGTTTGACATCTGAACAAACTCAGTAAAAGTATTGTACATTCACTTGTCATTGTGCTTTGATATTGATCCGCACTGGCAATGCAAAAAGAAATTTTACTGAACATGTATCCATTGTACATTTTGATATCAAAACGCAAGATTTGAACTGCACATGAAAGTTGGGTCGAGGATAGCCATCTTGATTCGGATAACATGTAGTACATGTATGAAATTCATGTATCCAACATACATGAGCTTCAGGCAGAATCTGTACTAACAATAATTATTGCATCTAAGTTCCCAGTAAAGCCATGATAAAGTCTAAGCCTTGTCAACAATGTTGACAGTTTAAAATCAAGGGATTGAACCATGCAGCCATCTGTATCAATGCACATAATAACAACACAAACCTTGAACGAGTGAGTGAGTTTAGTTTTATGCCACTTTTAGCAATATTCCTGCAAGATTACGGCAGGGGGACACAAGAAATGGGCTTCAAAACATTGAACACAAACCATAAGAATACATACGGATGAGTAGTCATGGGAGAATTTCAGAAACAGTGTAGTGTAAACAATTTGGCTAAAGCCAGTTTGCAAATAATTTGTTAGTCCGGTAAATTTACAGTTAGCCTGTCCGGCCTGGTCAAAATTCTATTATTGATCTAATTTCAGAAAGATGTTTTGGGCTGTCTGCTTATGTTAGCAATCCAGGATTCTTAATCAGTTGGGAAGGGCTTAAATGTCACTTTGATAGGCATTACAGCGTGTCAGCTTTTAGTGAGACGAAAAACGGTCATGCAATTTTGGAACAATTAACACAATTGGTTATGGTGACAAACATTTTAATCCTTGGAAATTTGAAATTGACACCCATGTCCATAGATACAGGGGTGGAAATAAGACATTGCCTGACGTCCCAGTCCAGTGTTTATTTCTGTCGGGCAAGCAAATTTGTATATCATGATGTACCGGTGTCCAGTTGACTTTCCAATGTTAATTATGTGGTTTATTTAAAAAATCAATGGGAAAATCGGCCGGTATAGTCGAAACATTATCAGGGCAAGTGATTTTACATGTGCCACTGTACCAGAATACACTAGCAATTTGAAAGTTATTTCCACTAGTGGTGGTCCAATTAATTGAAATAATCGAAGATTGGTCGCAGTGAATAATCGACCAAGCAATCGATCATGTTTTCTCATAATCGAACATGAACAATTCTGGAACACTTTTTGCATTAACAATATTTTTCACAAGGTTGGTTTTGTAAGTTACATTTCATAACCACTACAAGCTTGTTTTAAGTCATGATGAATTTATCTTGAACACTCCAGGAATTTTATGTTCCTAACATACTAGTAATCCTTTCAAGATGTGTAATTTCCCCCCCTCCCAAACAAAGAACTACATGTCCAGGAATTTTATGTTCCTAACATACTAGTAATCCTTTCAAGATGTGTAATTTGCCCAAAACAAACCCCAAAGAACTACATGTTTTTTCACATATTTGTTTTTCATTAACCAAAATAACCAGGAAAAAATCATAAATTACGCTAACCAATTATTTTCGATGATTGATCGGTTGCAATGAAGCAATCATCAATTATGAGGTTTTAACCAATTCCCAACACTAATTTCCAAACCTGAGATATCCAGCATCTGAGTGACAACTGTGCATATTGAAATATGGAAAGTTATTTGTGTCATCTACAAATCAGATATATAATCTCTCCCACAATGGTAAAATACTCTTCATGAATGTCAACTAGTTATGACTATGTCAAATGTTACATTGTTCTTAACATTGATCTAACGAAAACATATATATGTAATCTATTCATATAGTAGCATGCTTTTATCAACAACATACTGTCCGAGTGCTTCAAAAATTGATGTACCTCAGTAATGTTGATACTGGAAATAGAGTGGTACTGTTGATTTTTTTCATTAGGTTCTTGAATACCAACGAGGTGGAAGGAGAGAGGTATTGAAGTTCTGTTACGGAAAGGAGCACTACAACCAATTTCAAAGTCAAACTTGTTGCCATGGAAATGCAAAAAAATATTTTATTTAGAAATCCAAAACTACCAAAAGGTGTCAGTTCACCACCAGACCTATCTATGTGCCAGGTTTGATGAAGAAACAATGAACCATTTTCATGTTCTGCTCCGGAAATGACGAATTTGCACGGATGGATGGAGTCCAAAATAATACCCCCACAAAATGGGTTGCAGGGGATATAAATAAGAAACTACAATATCTGTATTGTAAATACTTAGTTTTCAAGCAACTTCATTGTTCCAAGTAGGTGCGACATTTACATATTTTTTCTTGCATCCAGAAATAACTTGACGTGTCAACAATGAGTCTCTGAAAACCTGTGATGTTGCTCAGCAACACTACTCCAAATATACATTTGTCTGTTTCAACGATGCAAAATAATGAATTGTGGGTGGACAGAAATAACTATAAATCATACTGAAATCAATTCTTTTAATCTGATAGGATTTTTTCTACTTGAACATCTGAGGACCATGTGAATCAGGTGAACTTTCTATGGCATCTATCTAGACATTCATCTATTTAGTAGCCACTTTCAAAAGTAGATAAACATACTGTTGATACTTTAAACAACCTGTCATTTCTGAGCACCATGACATCTAACTAAAAAAAGGCTAATTTTCATCCTTCATCATCTGTGCAAGGCCTAAAACAAATAAATGTTGTGGTTCCGATTACCCGACCTACCCTTGAATTTTGGTGCCGACCCATGTTTTTTAAAGAGGTATGATTAAAATAAGCTTTCAGATACCATTGTTTTTTCCTGGCACCAACAGACATTGGTCATTCTGATAGAGAAAGTCAACGTGATGGCCGCAAGCTTGATTGAATAAACAATTACACATTGATAAATGTGTTATTTGTTCGTACTTTACTTCTAAAAACAAATGTGAAAAAAAAGGAAGAATTCCTACCTACCGACCCTAAATTTTAAAGACGTGTAATCAGAACCACCACAATTTTTTGGTTTGGCCTAATTCTTACTTTCTGCAAGTCAAATTTCTAAATCAAGCTGGTCAAGAAACAAAGCCTTACTGTTTCAGAATACTGAAAAACTTAAAAAATGCAACCCAACCATTCAAGAGCTTTACCTGAAGTGACCTTCAATGGAAGTGTCCTCATATTCAAGACGTGATACACCCGAGTAGATTAAATAATCGAGACTGGACAAGACATCCAGTGATCGACTTGATTGGGAAACGAATCCCAAACGAAGGAAAAATCTGTCATACCATTCATCAGCACTTGTAATGCATTCTCCAAACAAACATGTTTCTATATTCCTGCTGAATTGAGAAATACCCAAGACCTATTATCTACAACAGCTTGTTTGAACCCAATTCAATACCGATTTGAAAAATGTCCAATCAAAGCTAGATTACCAATGTATGTTGGATTTGCGGAGTGCATGCGTCTTTACATGCATTCAGAAAAAAAACCTTCTTACATGTTTAGTACTTGCAGATAAAAGTTTGACCGTCTCTACATAAGAGCTGTGATTGTTTATACTGTTTAGCATACAACACTCTAAAAAAAACTGTAAAGGTAAGATGAGGCAAACATTTATCTTATGGTTAACTGTATAAACTTTCAACATAATCAGCCTAAAATGAAACTTAACCATTTATTGTAATTGAGCTAAAATCATGTCAAAGTCATACATGACTTCCCCGAACTAAAACCAAAACAATCAGTGTTTGGTAGTCACACACCAAATTACAAGTAATGACTCAAAAGAAGAATCAGTTATCCCCCTATGTTCCCCTTCAACATTGATCTTTCCAGAGATATTTTACATTTTAGATGTCGGTCAGCAAGGTTTTCACCGACTTAATAAATTACAGAAAGACTGTTCATTGTGAAATGTATTGATCACTAACTGAAGGTCCCAAATTTGATCCCAAACTAGTAATTAAGAGTTTTGTTATTTTGTTTTGATCATTTTAGTAAACAGTGTAGGATTTGTCTTTGTTTCTAGGGCAACTGAAGATGTTTTGACTTGTTTTATTTTTGTCATCTGTGCTTTATACTTACCTGTTCCAAACCCATCATTCCCCAATACATACCTTCTTAACATCTTCTTCTTGGCGCTTCTCATAGTGAATAAAGTCATCAAAGATCGACGTTGTGTGCTTATAATTGTGGAAGATTTTCAACACTTGTTTGCCTTTCTCTGGTGGAACCTCCTGAGTGTCCCGAGAGTTTGTCACGGGTTTATTCTCATTGTTCTCCAGGCGTATGTGTCGCAGCTGGCTGTTTGGGACATCCTTGACATAGATCCACTTCACTTCAAAGGAACCCTTCCACTTATCCTGAGCCCATACGCCACAATTTTTCAAATAATCCACAGGCGACATCATTTGAGCCAATCCACAGAAATGGCCACTACCGTTCACGCTATACAGAAGATAGACAGGCCCCTTTCCTTCTCGCTCACGGATGGCAGCATCTAGTCGTTTGTTTCCATGTTCTGTACTACACCAGATGCTGTACTTAATCGATCGGTGAATATCATCCTCCGAATAGCTCTTGATAACAAAGAAGCGGGCTCCTTTGGGGTTCAAATTATACTCTTTGGGATTATACTGATTGACCGATTTCAGCCTGTCCAACACAGGGTGCGATACTGCAGCAGCAGCACTTGCCGAAGCAGATGCAGATGCAGAGGTTGACGAACTGCCTCCTGCATTGCCACCAGAGTTGTTTTGGTTGTTAGAAGTTGAGTTCCCAGAATTGTACGGTGTCATTTGTCGTCGAGGAGCACTAAATCCCTGTCTTGGCTGCTGCTGTTGGCGGTTACCAGAGTTTCCTCGATTGTCCCAAGTGCCAATGTCCATGTTATGCTTGTTGGGGTTCACAGGCGCGCTCTTGGAATTGTCCTTGGTTTCATCTGAGGCTGAGGACGTGCTGGCTGACTTGCAATGGCAGCCCAAGATGCTTTCTTTGGAGCTTGGGACCCACCCCCAGTCACCATGGGAGGCCCCTGAGGTCCACCCACATTACCATTCTGTTCAACCCCCCATATCATTTCCAACACTCTCCATTTTCTTTCCATCTCCCAAGTTCATTCCTTTCAATCCCTGTTCCACACTATTAACGCCATCACGATCAAGTTCACCATTCATACCAGTATAAGCCTCAGCTGGCATCATTTGATCAGGCCGGTAATATTCCTCAGTGTATTGTCGGTTATTTTTCTGTCCCTGGCCTGCATTTCCCCAATAGTCCGGTGAGTAGTCCCACCCAAATGGTGGGTAACCAAAACTATTGAAAATTCCATTGTAGTCATAACTGGTCATTGAAAACATAGGTGGGTCCCCGCCATTTGACCAGGGTCCAGCACCAAGTCCTTGGTCCATGTACGGAAACGACATCGACGGAGTGTAGTAACTGGGCAGGAAGGGGTCGGAAACTCCAGGGCTTGACATTGGTGCGGTACTGTAGCCAGCCTGCTGAAACCAAACATTGAAATTCAACAGGTGTTCAGACCTCTTTATACAGAAGACAATGCTATTTTAATATATGAAAAGTGCTCAAAACTCTCAAACATATAAAGTCACTGAACTATTTCAAAGTGGTTGTAACTTGTACATGGTGCAGCTAAAAAACCTTGACAGGAAATCATTGTTTAAAAAGACGGCTACAGCAGACCGAGCAAAAACTGTACCGCACATTTACAATAAAGAGAAAAACACTTTACGAGGTAATAATTTTGCAGTATTTATTTGTAACATTGATTCTAGTTTTTGTCACTATATTTCCATATTTCAGAACAGCACTGGAATTGTCATCTGTGTAAATGAAAGAGCTTGAAAGGATGGTGCCTCAGACATCAGGTACTTTGGTGCTGCCATATACATAAAGTAACCAATTTTAAAATTTAAATGATCAGGAATATGTTTTTAACTTAGAATCATTGATCACAAATGAAATGAGTGAAATTTATTCGCTTATCACCCGAACGTACCTGGTGGGGTGGTTGAAGGTATTGGTCGAACTCTTCGTCTTTCACGACGGAATCTTTATTGGGACCATTGGACACTTGAAATAAACAAGTAGATTGTAGCACTATCATTATGAAATGGTTTTCTGTGTGCAGGTGCAGCAAACATCATGAGAAATACATAGTGTGGGGGAAATGAACATCTAATGTCAAGGAAAACAGTCCTAGGCTTAACTATACTCTGTACATATGAATACTATTGAAATTAAATTTCATGATATCATGAGCTGATTATGGCATGAACAATTTTGTTTAGGACATCACTTTGAAATGAAGTAAATTCGGATCTGTGGTCGCAATGTTTACACTTTTAAACATTTTTCACATTAAACCTTCATTCAGTATATACATGACACATAAAACAAATGAGATTCCAAATTAGACTTCCTATATACAGTAATGATTATTCTGTATTCCCATGGCATAAGGCCATCTTTGATGTATACATGGGGGTGTTACATAAGGAATGCTGACCAAGCATGACAGTAGCATTACAACCAGCAAAACTATCATATCTCCTAAATTATGTCTTAGGTTTTAAGACAAAAATGATACACAATTCCTCAACAAATTTAATACAGCAAATAACTTGTGGAACATGTCTTTCAATCCAGGAAGTACTGCATTTGTGTAGTTATTTATTCAACTCGACCTTCAAACTGACTGGTATCAACTCATTCCAAATAGAATCAAAATTAATTTGGTTATCACAAACAACACTTCTCTCTGTACAGAATTGCGTCACAGTTAATATCGGAGACCTGCAAAAGAGAACATGCCTCGCCCAACACTAAATAATGGCGGTAAAGTGGTTTCTGTAAAACCTTCCGCATAGTCCAGTTCAAATCGAATGAGACTCCTTATATAAATCATATCTGTACCAAAGCAATAGCTTTACTGGGCCCACATATCATTGATACAAACTAACAGTAAAGTCTTCCATATGGAGAAAATGGACCCCGGTGTTATCAAACGTGGCCTATATATAATCGGAAGAGATGGCGTGTCACGTCGCCTAAATTCTGCCCCTTTGATTACGACTCGGGATAGTAACTAATATATACCTTGATTTGGCTGTCCTTTTGTCCTCTATATGGGAATCGGTGGATATGAAAATAAACAAAAACATGTCATTAGTTTATTCAAACACCATACAAACCATATTGCGACAGAAAACTACCACTATCGAACAATCGCGACCGACATTCTTAGCACTCGGTGTAAGATGGCCGATCGCATGGACGGGAACTCCATACCTGATCTACACTTGCAGACATCACACTAAGATTTTGAGTCCTTGAAGGGATAACAAATGTCTTTTCACAGTCTGATCACACAAAATGTTGTTAAAGAAGCAATCGGCACACTTTTTGGTTTAAAATAGGTCCTTTCCAACGAAAAAATGTCCAGAAAAATGACACTAATATCCCCTTCCACTGATCCAAGAACAATGGCGGCGGCTGCGCATGTGCCTCGATCCCGCGTGGACTCACGTGACAAAGTGACGTCATATTTCACCTATATCCTGTATCGACGGCAGGTGAACGCCCCAGGTGCCCGAGCCGGGAATTTTAACATCGACTAAATCTGATGAGAATATACCCACTGACACAAGATCTTTTATAGTAGTAGATTGAAATGCTAATTTGAAAATCTTTCAAAAACGGAGTTTGTTATATGCTTCACTCTACACACTAAAAATAAAACAGATTCGTGAGTTACATAGATCTACACTGCATCAAACCATGAACCAGTCACCAAGGACAACAACATGAAGATGTTTTTTCTCATTTCGATACATTTATCTATTATTTATTCACAAAATACCATTAATGCACAACTGTGATGTAAATGTGATCTTTGCGAACATATACGCATATTAACACTAATATTATATTTTGACTAACATAAGTTAATAGGCGAGCCTTAGACTTCTAACTTATGTTAGTAAGTCTGGTAAGAGTTCCTCCCGTTCCCCCATCTCAAATAATATTTATAAATATACTAAAATTATTAACAAAACTTAACACAACAATTACTAGAGAACTCAGAAAATGACTAAAAGTCCAAAATTTATGTTAGGGTTAGGCTTAGGGTTGGGGTTGGGGTTGGTGGAACGGAAGGAACTCTTTCTTTAAGTCTCAACATAGTGATAGATCGTTACATTAAATTTCATCCTAATATAAACGCATACTTCAGTGCAAACAAGTCAGATGAATGAAATTAATGATCATGGATAAGACACCAAGGCGTGTTGACAACATGCTGTTTTATTATAAAAAGTGACTATTGTTTCCCACGTGTTGTTCAATGTTCTTCAATTTCTATATTGATTACCCTAAATCAGAACTGAGCACATGAATACTTACCCGCAATCCATCCCAGGGCTTGTCATTCCAAATGTCAACAAAACTGGACAAAACAGTAGCCATACGAGCGATAATACAGGCCGATGGAACGACTCACCGTGTGATCGAACGTAATTCAATCAACAGATGCGAGGTTCTCCAGGTATCCCAGTCCGTCGAACGAAGGTGATAAGTGATCGGCGTGGAATGAGATGTATGTGTCTTATTAATCCTCCTCCCTGAGATCCTCTTCTAATACCAATGAACCAAATAACCAAAGGCGGGGCATCATTCAATTCAACGGCCCATGGCAAACACAATAAAACTAATTGAATACGTAATTCCTGAACACACGTGGAGAAGCGCAGTCGCGGATGAATACAACCAAACAGTCTTTCATTTCATCTGTCACTCAAGTCTGTCTGCAGGTCAATTAGCACTTATATGGCAAGTGTTTAGCGTCGGAGTTGTCAAGCTATTGTTCATCCAACGTCGGATCGAAGTCTGTGTAATTAACTTTCTTAATCCCGCGAGTTATCGGCGTTTTGTTAACAGCTACCGTTTAGACATCAAAGGGAGCCGCTTCGTTAAACAACAAATGGTTCCGACGTCAGGCTGCGTCAAGTTTGATCAGACATAGTTATACTAGATTTATCGCTTCCCTGGACCGCCCACGTCCACAGGACATTATCGAAAATACTGGTATATGTACATAATATCATATGTATCACACAAACTTAATAATTCAGTAATATGTTTGCGTGACATGCTTGCACCGAAACTTCGCAATCATTGCAATATAGAAGTTAGTCTGGCTCACAGTCCCTGAACCACATTATGTTCCATACTGCCTCGCTCTCTCTGCCTCGCCCTCCCTGCCATGCTAAATCCCTAAATGAAGCAAGTCTAGATTTCCTCGGGTTCTGATTCGCTGGTCTCCCTGGGGCTCCTTTTCAATTTAAATGGGTTTGTTTGTTACTATCAAAATTATATATATTCAGAGACTAAACGTTAGTCAATAAAGAAGTCGACTATCCAGAGAACTTGGTTTTCCTTCATCTTTAGAACTTCTAAAATGCCCCTCAAAGAAAATGCCTCTCAAAGAAGTTTGCATGAGCGAAAGATTTCTCCTGGTGCGACACCAAAGATGCGCACGGTCCCTCTTACTGAGTGTGTTCGGTGAGATGATGTTGATGTGCAATAGTCTTAAGCTGTTGTAAGGGAGGTTTACTACTGGTGGTTATACAATCCTGAACCCTATTGGATTTAAATAATGATAGCTAAGGGTTACTTCTTGATGGAATGCTCACTCATTTTACATTTCAAAGTCCAAAAATGACCCATAGTATCATCTTGATGGTGGTAATGTACATATAGAATAAATGTTCTTATACTTCCTGGGGAGCCCCATGTTTGCAGTGATATATAATATATATTTATTGGGCTTAAACAATCGTTCGCTCAAACAATCAATCAATCAATTTGACCGGATACATGGTACTTGAGGATATTCAGCAGCACATTTTCGTTTGTGAAAACCAGTTTATACAGTGCAGTTCAATGGACACACTGCATCTTCTTTTATCATAGTGTAACTTCATCTACAATATACTGTTTTTTCCGTTGTTGCCTTTCCTCTCAAAAGTTATCTTGGAGGTGGTTTTCATAAATCACAGAAGCAGATAAATCATAGATACATATCCCCCTCCACCCTGCAAGCTTACAACTGTACATAAATATCGCAACTTTGTTTTTGAACACCACAGACTCAAACCCTAACTATTTCTATAATATTTTGAAAGCTTCATGAAGATACTAGTATAATGAAAGGTTTGGCATCGAAGACAAAAGCTATCCTAATTAATCGATTGTGTTGCCGTGGTGAAATAAATATATAAAGTAAACATATTCAAATACATCATTTCTGATTTACAAGTTAAGCTGTCTACATTAACCCTACCCTTATATTATAAAACACAAAAGTAATTAAAAGCAGTTCCATAACCCAGGAAAATATAATTCTGATGGCTGTTTTCAAACCTTATAAGATTTTCATGCCATACTGATGTTTTCGAAATATTTCAGACTGTGGTTTCAGAGAAAACTTTACTCAGGTGATGTGTACCATTTTATAACTCTTGTCAATATAACATATGTTATATTTGGGATTACACTTTCTTAGTAAAGTACAGAGGCGTCTGACTTTGTACGCTGGCGATTAGGTGCCTGACTCTGAGGGTGTGGGTTCGAATCCCGGATGGGACTCAACCCCCCCAAAAAGTACTAGAATCTGTACTTTACTAAGAAAGTGTAATCCCAAATATAACATATGCTACATTTGACCTCTTTCTAAAATCGCATTGTGTATTTCTTGTCAATATAATTGTTCGAGAAACTTGTCCTTGATTGGAAGCACCGTGTATCATTTCCACAAGATCAAATGAAGGCCAAATATTTATAAAATATCTTATAAATATCTTATCTTATAAAATATTAACGTAAAAGCTTTTTTCACCCACTGAAGTCGGAAGACAGAGGGTGGCCAACATATATCCCCCGGCCCACGTCGCGGCTAATAATCGTTGATAAACAGAATACTCATGGCCTTACCTTTTATAATAATACCCAATCACTGAATTGCATTTACATCTCTTTTTTATTGAAATTCTAAAGTTTGTTTTACATAAACTATGTATTTTTAATAAATAACATTGAAATAAGAACAATTGTGTGAATTAACTAAATACAGAATTCACACATTAAAACGTTGACTGAGCAGCATGTATTCTTTTTCTGTCACACTTTCTTGATCCGGGTTTGAAAACCTGTAATATTTTATGCCCCCATCGAGGACGAATAAACGTCTTGTTATAACTGTACATTGAGTGCAATCGTCTGTCAGGCACAACTACTAACCCGGCCAACGAGTATCACCCGCCGCTCCCCATGTTTGCTACGCGCCATGCCAACCTGTTGAGACTGGATAATGTAGCTAAAAATAGCACACCGTCACACAACATTGCGCAGCTCTTCAGGCTAATGTTTTTGAGCTGTCAAAACGTACCCGTCGCAACAACAATTATCCAGCTGTTTTTATTAATAATGATTATTATACTCTTTGATGTTTCTTTGTCTAAAACGTTACGTGCTGTTCATTCTTTCATAAGAATTCCGAGAGAATTGACATAGATGGGTGTAAAGTCTCTATCTTGCATGATACACCCTATCGTGTTTGGTTTGTAAATAAACATGTTTAGACACATCGCCATTAACCCTGACCTTCATCGTGACTAGACTTTACAAAAGGAATCATGCTATATCCGCAAACACTTATCTCCTGTACACATATAATGCTTTCTGAATTCCTTTTCAGGTACCCGTCCGATTACCCGTTCAGTTTGAGCCAGTCTCGTTGTATGACATCTATGACTACTGTCTTCAATAAAACTAATCCAAAGTTACATGTTAAACAAATGAAATTAACAAGATATTCACGCATACCGACCACGTAGGTCGGTGTGTATATTAGCGTACCACGAACTGTCTAAATATATATTGAAAGGCAAAAGAAACGGCGTAATATTGGAAATGACATTTAAGTATCAATGGAGTATTTGAACCTATTTTTTTTAAATATACACCGGGAGTCAGGTTTGAGGAAAACATGAATCGTGGTCGTATAGCCTGTATTGAGGTTTGAAATGTTTTTGTTTGTGGGAAGGGAAGAGTTTGCACAAACACAACATTGAAATCGAGATGCACGTGCATCATGTCTGCATTCAGGCATAAATTGGCGGCTTGAATGGCAATCGTTCACTTGTTTTCTGAACACAGCAGCTATGGCTATTTTAAAGAGAGATGTTGATGGACGATATGGCGGTCCTGGCGACGTGTTGTTACACGTGGTCGACCACTACGTGGTCGGTCAACAGTGCTGTTGGTGGCGTTGTATCGCTGTCTAAGACGTTCTATCGTTCGTACGCTGCAATTGAAATCATTAGCAATGACTCGAGCACGTTGATCAGCGTCTAGACGTCCAATGGCTTGTTGACGTTATCTCTCATTAACCTTGGCTATTCATAGCTGCTTTGTTCAGAAAACAAGTGAACGATTGCCATCCCCCATACACTATCAC